TGTTAGAGAGAAAGAGGCATCTGTGCAACACGTTGCATAAAGAAAGCAGAAGAATAACAAACCCTTACGCCAAAGACACGTCTATGCATTTTGATACTCACTCAACCATGTACACAAGATATAGATAAATAAATAATATTAATTAAAGTTTTCAACATATCAGTTAAAAAACTAAAGACATTTGATTAATATTTTGTTTACATTATTATTTAATCATGAATTCATATATTAACCAGAAACACTGTTGGTGATGTATTAGTGACATAGGCAAAGACCTTGAAGTGGAAATTAGCTAGGCTTGTTCACATTCTAGTTCATTTAACCTTTTTTCCTCAGCTGTCAAATTCTTCACAAGAAAAATGTTTCTTTCTTTATCTTATCTCCTTTATATGATCAAATAAACCAATCAGAAATGGCACTCGAACAGTTCTCCTTCGTTGGGTCAATTGGTCAAGCTAGTATGGGTCTTTCGCACCATCACGCCTGCTTAATTAATCTTCGTTATTCTTATCACAATATCCATCAACATGATTAATATCTCACCAAAAAATTGACATATTAATATTTAATTTACTTTTACAAATATTATGACTCTTCTAATTTAAAATGAAATCTTTAATCTCTAAAATCCAACTCCCAAATATTAATGTTTGTGCAAAGCGTATAATAAAATTGTGTGCAAACCTCCCAAAACTTCGTCCAACATTGTTTATGGAAAATGGGGCAGAAAAAGGGAGAGAAGATAAAAAGATGAACTACACGTAAAACATATCTTAGACTTTCACCATTGTTTATGTTTCGTTCACTGTTTCACCAAACAAAAAAAAGTATTTTGCATGGGAAGCATACAAAATTACTCACTCTTTATTCACAGTTTATACATTCTTAATTATTTAACTTGTTGAGTAACACAATTTTATTTATTCATTGACAGAGAAATCTCAAAGCCTTAGCGATTAAGAAATCTTAAAAAAAAAAAAAAAAGCCTTGACTCAAGGTTCATGTAATCATATTGAATAATTGATTGATTATTTCATATACAAATTGTATATAATTGATCGACAATCATAGTTTTCTATTCAGTGACCTAACACGAGTTTGTTAGGTGTTGTTAAGCATCAATAATTCAATTTATGATTCTTAAATAATAACTTTCAAAGAAATAACGACCTTTTAATTTTTTGGTAAATGGAAGACCCAAATTTAATAAGTTCAATCAAAGCCATTGGTGAAATTTTTGAATTGGATTGAAAATGAAATTTGGAAAGTGAAACAGTGCAATTTGGGACGCACGTGATCACATGGTTCTGCCAGCCAAGCAATGTCTGCGTCACTTCCATTTCAACTGTTTGCAACTGGCTTTCCATCGCTGGACGCAAAGAATATGACCTTTTATAAAAGAATAATTCTAAATAATTTTAGATATTTTTTATTTTTTAAATAATTTCCTTATTTCATAAATAAATAAGTTATAGAGTATTATTTATACCTATAAAATGCAAAATACACTTTTATTTAACTTTCTTTATAAAATATCAAAAACCTCGATGATGATGTTGTACAAATAAAATAAAACATTACTACTCTTAAATTTATTAGTTTCAACATTTATCTATTTATTTACACTCAATTCTCATACTTAACTGCAACTTAGTATATTTTTATACTTTTATTTGAGTGTAAAATTTTTATTTAAGAAAAATATACTAGTGTATGACTCTAGCCTGATTATTTTTTTTTGCAAGTTAATGAAAATTTAGTGTATGACTTTTAATCACGTTGAAGCTTCCTGTATCTTTTTATTATTAATTTAAAATTTAAAATTTAATTTTTTATAAGAAAATTTTATTGAATTTTTTAATATATCTTTAAACAAAATTTGTCATCAACATAATGATTTCTATCAATTGCAATTTTTAAAATTAAATTATTAAATTGTTACTACGTTATTTCAAATAATTTTATCTATTAATAATTATATTATTCAGTTTTTTAGTTTTTTTAGTTTTTACTGCATAATTTCCTTAATTATTTAATATTCTAATTATCTGTATTTTTAATTTTTATTTGAATCATAAAAATTTTATTTTTTGGGTGAATAAGATGAATTAGAAAGATATTACATTACAAAATATATTTATACTCCCTTAGAAATATTAAATTATATTAAAAAAATAAAACATTGCTAGCTAGATGTTTTTGTAATTGTCATCGCTATTGAAATAAAGTTTATAAATTTAAATTGAAAACTTAAAATTAATTTGAGATAAGTTAATATGAATAAGTTAAATGAATTATATTTTTTTATAAAAATAAAAATTACGTAATTATTAAATTTTGACAAAAAAATTAATGGTTAAAAAATATACAAATAAAATAAAGTTTGAAAGGTAATATAATAATCAAGAGGTTTCATTAATCAATTTCTTACAAATGTTGTTAATTACTATTTTAAAACTACTAATTAAATCGTTAAAAATATATCAAATATTATGAAAAATAAATACATTAATAACATTTTTTAAAATATTAGTTTTTATATTTTAATTACCTCTTCCAGTTTTATTTATAAAAAAATGAATAATTAATTTATAAAAAATAATAATAATATAAATTATATAGTATCATAAATTTATTTTATATTTTAAAAACAAACATCATATTAAATAATTAAATTAATAATTTATATAATAAATAAATATATCTATTATAAAGATAATGAATTGAGTGTCACTCAAAGATGTCTAATTCTATATTTTATTTATAATTTATCTAATTAGTATTATTATTTTAATTAACTAATTAAAAATAATGTTTTATATAAAAATATTTAAAATTGTCTTATTATTTTAGAATGAGAATAGATTTATTCTAAATAAATATATAAAAAATTATTAATTAATACATTTAAAAATATATATTTTTAATAAATTTCTTTAAAAAATAATAATTTCTTATACACACAAAATCAAAAGAGTAATATTTACAAATATTAATTAATATTTACGTCAACTAAATATTTGACATAAAGTTTAGTTGCAGGAATCTCCCAGAAAATTTTAAAAGTGACTTCTCTCTTTGTTTTTGGAGTCGTGAAATTATTAAGTGACCTGTCATTGATTTCTTTGATGTTAGTGGTGGAAGCCCTGCCACTGAAAATGCTGTGTATAAAGTGCTTCTTGCCCATCGTCGTCGTCATCATCATCATCATCATGGAGATTGAATATTAATCTTTTCTATTGCTCATCCACATACCTCTCTCTTCCTTAGTGCTCTGTGGTTGTTGAACCCCCTTTCTTTTCATCCTCAGTTCAGTCCTGGTATTATTTTTTGTGGACTCTTTTTCCTTTTTCTGAATAACGTTTTAGTTCGCTTTACCAATTATAAAATCAGTGTCCATTGAAACTAATAACTACCCTAAACCCTAAAAAATAATATACTTTTTAAAATGTTAATGTGTTGAATGTTTTACTTTTTATTAGATCTGTATAATTAGTGTCTTAAAATATTAGAATAAGAATTTCAACAAATTTTGTTGGGATCGGTGAATCCTTATAGGTTAGAATTGAAGAGAAGATTATATAATGATAGAATTGAATAGCAGAGAGAGGTGCATGAGATTTCTTTTCTTTTACATTGAAAGGGCCAAACACCATTTATGTTCATAAAGAGGCTCTATACGATCCCATCTACAAGCAGATCAATTTACTCTGCATTAACAATGCTTGGAATTCCAACCAAAAAGAAATCTGCAAAGTGACAAAGTGTGCATGCTCGTAGCTAGCTGTCACAGTTATGGAGAAGGTAAATCTAAACTAAATGCACTAATAAATACAATCTCTTCTTTCTAAAAAAAAATAAATCTAAAAATAATGTTAATCTTTTTAAAAATAAACATAAATGAGGGTAACTTTTATTCTCGTTCATTTTCACAATAAAATGTTAAAAATACATAGAATGATAACGTAATTAAGAAATAATATTATCTACAAGTTATAAAAGAACAATATTTGATTTTAAAATATGTAATATATTAGGTAAGAAATTTTTTCTTTCAAAATAATGATTACTATATAAAATTATTTCATTTTTATTCTTCAAATAATTAAAAATATTCTTAGCTATTTTCTAATTTAAGAAATTAAAGATACTTGTTCACTATATTTTTAAATTTTTATTATTAGATAAATTGCATGTAAATCTATGTTGAATGCAATGTAAATTAAAATTATTTAATGTAGTTAACATGTGTTTACTATAATAAAACATTTGAGAAAATATTTAAAACATATTTCAATTTATGTCAGATGATTCGTAAGCCATATTTTGGATTAAAAATATTTATTCCCAATGTGTTAAATATTAGTGTACACACATAAAAAAAAAATTAAAAGTAATGTCTTTTATTAACTAAATAAGAAAACAAAACGTTATATTAATATTCTTAAAATTATTAGTTGTTATGAAATGAATATTATATGAATTACACAACACAAGGTTCACCAAATCGGGTCAAGTTATTTGAATGGAATGGAAGTTTGAATGGTACAAGAACAGAACAGTGGCTTATAATTGTGTAATATTGGAGATTGGAGCATTGAATTAAAATTGGAAAACGTACAGCTTATGACAGCAAAAGTGTTTGGCACGTAGCTCCTCAATGCGTATCCACCTGTCCCTCTTAGTCTTATGGCATTTGCTCTTTAAATTCTGCAAAATCAAATCTAATCCAATATACATCATTAATCACCACCGCGTAAATACCGTTTTTGGGGTGCTTCATTTCATACACGCCAAAACATCAAATAAAACCCCCTACAAATCATAAAAAAGATTAAAAAGAAAAGTACAAAAAAGAGAAAAGGAAACTAAATTCTTTGCTTAACAGCGGTTTCGTCTAATGTGTTAAAACAAGACACGTTCTCTTACCTTTTGTCTTGCAATGAGAGAGAGAGAGAAAATTAAAAAGAAAATAGAGACAGAGAGACAGAGAGACAGAGAGACAGAGACAGAGACAGTGATGAATGAATGAATGAATCTCATATAAGTAATCATAGATTTCCCTTTCTCAGAACTCCAGCTACCTCTCCCTCTTCCCTCTTCTCTCTTCTCTCTCTCTCTCTGGAACTTCCATTCACCACGGTTCCAGAGAAAACTCAAAAAAACCAAAACGCGTCCTCTTTAAGACCCGCCAATAAAACAAAACAAAATAGAGAAATAAAAGTCAAGAAACAAAGAAAGAGAAAGAAATGGCCACATTTTCCTCCTTCTTGTAAAGCCAATGCTATTCTAACCCTTCACAAACACCCTTTCATTTTCCTCCACCAAGAACCGTTTTTTCCACCGACCCACTATCCAAAACCACCCTCTTTCCCCTTCCCCAATGCTTCCCCCCCGCTTAAGTGCCGTCGTTTCGTCCCTCATTCTATGCTGTCTCTTACCCGCCTTTTGCCTTGGAATCCGATCTTTTCCGACCACCATCGCCGCCGGCGATGCTCTCTTCCACTACGCCGAGGCGCCGGAGTACCGAAACGGGGCGGGTTGCCCCGTATCCACGACCCGTGACTCAGTCCTCTCGTGTGACCCGTCTTTGGTCCACATCGCCATGACCCTCGATTCCGGTTACCTCCGTGGCTCCATAGCCGCCGTGCACTCTGTCCTCCGCCACTCATCGTGCCCGGAAAACGTGTTCTTCCACTTTGTCGCGGCGGAGTTCGACCCGGCAAGTCCTCGGGTCCTGACACGACTGGTGAGGTCCACTTTCCCTTCGTTGAACTTCAAAGTCTACATTTTTAGAGAAGACACGGTTATAAACTTGATCTCTTCTTCGGTTCGTCAAGCACTCGAGAACCCTTTGAACTACGCAAGGAACTACCTCGGAGACATGCTTGATCCGTGTGTGGACCGAGTCATTTACCTTGACTCGGACGTTGTTGTTGTTGATGACGTTGGCAAGCTGTGGAACGTGTCACTCACCGAGTCACGTGTTATTGGTGCACCAGAGTATTGTCATGCAAATTTCACGAAGTATTTCACGGATGAGTTTTGGTTGGACCCTTTGTTGTCACGTGTGTTTGGTTCTAGAAAGGCTTGCTATTTCAACACGGGGGTGATGATCATGTACCTTGTGAGGTGGAGGGAAGGGAACTATAGGAAGAGGATTGAAAATTGGATGGAACTGCAGAGGAAGAAGAGGATTTATGAGTTGGGTTCTTTGCCTCCTTTTTTGCTTGTTTTTGCTGGGAATGTTGAGGCTATTGATCATAGGTGGAACCAGCATGGGCTTGGAGGGGATAATGTGAATGGAGTGTGTCGGTCATTGCATCCTGGGCCTGTTAGTTTGTTGCATTGGAGTGGCAAAGGGAAGCCTTGGGTTAGGCTTGATAATAAGCAACCTTGTCCGTTGGATCGACTTTGGGAGCCTTATGATTTGTATAAGCCACGCCAGTTTCAGAATAGGGTCAGGGATCAGCCTTGGAGTTTCTCTTCTTCTATGTTGGTTGGATATGCTCATGATTTGTTATGATACGAGGACGATGATGATTCTTTGGTACATTTGTTGTTCAGAGATTCTTTGGTAGCAGTGTACAGATTGATTGGGAGGGGGGGTCTTCATTCTTTCTGTAGAATTTTTACTTTTATTTTTTGAGATGGTTAAATTCTTCTTGTTTACATATGAAATTTGGATTCTTTTTGTGATGGGGGGTTCCATTTCTTGGAACAATTTTGGTGGCGGGGTTAAAGTTCTTTGTAAGGGACCATTATTGATTGTATGTTCCAAATGAAGTGCAGAATAACAGACAGTTGTTCATTGTTTTATTTGGATTGGGTTTCTATCATCTTTTGTTTCCTTTCCTACCTGTTGCCATTAATCAATGAATGATGAAATGTTAGGTTTTGGTTTGTTTTGTGTGTCCTTCCAAACATAGTTAAAAAAAAAAGTTAAAAGAAACTTTGTAGCTACAAGGTGCTTGTGATGACACATTGCCACTCATCATGATCCAGAGTTGATCACGGATTCACCATGATTTATTGGGTAAGGTAGAATAAAGTGAAATATGAAATGCTAGTAGGTTCACTCACGGTTGTTTCCTTTGCCTTCAGGAAACTGAAATGCCTAACCTCAGTGATCGTTGTTTTCATTCATCAACTACTTTAGACCCCACACAGCTCATTTTATTTGGAAAGTTCTTCGCGTAAGGTTAAATCATTGCATTTTCATCTTGACTCGCAATTTTCTTTAGACACGTCATGTCATGAAGTTTTCTGAAGACGTCCACGAGAATCCAAGGTAGGATTGCTAGTAACTCGTATAAGAATATTAATAATAAATCAATAATGTTTTTTATTTTATTTTTATATTTGTACATTGTGTGATGAAGTTTTTATTGCCCTTTCTTTTGTGTCCAATATGAAGTCGTGGCTTCCCATCCGGGTTTACCAAAGTTGACCAGCTGAGATGTACCGTTATAATGTCAATTTCAAATGAAATTTCGCACTTGCTTACGGAATCAAACTACAACAAAAATTGGAATAATATTGAAATTCCGAGGAGAAAACATGCTGTCAGTTGCCAATTGCATTATTTGCAGCATGTCTACATTCTAGAAAACATTTATTGAGGAATAAAAAGTAAAATAGTTATTGCAGTGGTTATTTTTATCCTTATTTTAATTTGAGATAAAAACAAGAAAAATAAATAAATTCAAAGTACTGATTGCGAAAAGAGTATGTACTATAAGAATATACATAAAAACTTGCTCCATTTTTTCAACATCTTAAAACGAACTCCCTACTATTTAAATATTGTTAACAAATTAAGATAGCAAAACAACCCAATCAAAGAGGGGGAAAAAGCACAAGTATACTTCACTCCAGAATAGTAGTCAATACATGGCTCAGATCAACCATCTGATTTTAATTTGATTATTAAACATGTAACTTAACATGTCGGTTTGCATGTCTTCTTCTTTTCATTTTTAAAAACGCAATCTAACATTTTAAATATGCCAATCTAACATCATGTTCCCACCTAAGATCCCAAGCATCATAGTTTCAAAATGCAATAATAAATTAATCATATTGGTAACTATAATCACCTCCATTATCAGCATAATTATCATCCTCCAAGGTTTCTACGAATAGTTTCCACTTCCTTGCCACTAATTTGGAAAGCTTTCTCAAGTATTTCATTAGGAATAGAAGGCTTGCTAGCAAATGATGCAAGTGATGCTATTTGTGCACCTGGGTTCTGGCTGTTGAGACCAGATAGGGCCAATGCTGGTTCCCTAGTGTCACTGTTAAATAAGAAATGTACAAGGCCCTTTGGGAACACAAATGACTCACCGGGCTTCAGGTTTTGGGTAAAGACACGGTTGGATGTGTCAATAAAGCCCACAAGAAGCAGGCCCTTGAGGCAAGTGGTAACTTCTGAGGCCCGTGGATGAGAGTGAGGTGGCACAATCCCGTTACCCGCTATATCGACCCGGACCAGTACAAGGCCCAATGTGTTAAGCCCAGGAAGATTAAAAGTGTTTGTGGGGGTGACACTGAAGCCGAATGTGTTACTAGTGTTGCCAGGCTTGGATAATGCAGATGTGACAAAATGCGATGGGGAAACTTGTTTTGGGTTGATGCAAGGCTCACCATTGATGAAAAAATTGTTTTGGTTATCTGCAACACAGTAGTCTTGAAGTGGGTCAGGGTCAGGTCTGCATCGGCCCAATAAGAAGGATAGGGTGAATACTAATAGTGGAAGAGAGTGAAAATGGGTACTCATTTTGGCCATCGTAGGAAGAAACAAGACAAAAAATAGATATAAATATATGTACTACTAGTGTTGTAGTTTGGATTCTAGTTGCATATGCCAAATTATATATATATATATATACATGTAGAAGAGAAAGAGAGAGCAGGTGGTGGATGTTGATATGTAATTAGCTTTCATGAATACTGTGGGGTGTGGTGATTGAGTAGCTTAAGAGCATAGGATGAAGGAGAGACAAGGGAAAGCTTAAAGGAAATGTGATCAAGTCATTATAAGCCACACAAGGGGATGATGTCTACGTTCTATTCAACTGAAAATGATTTGTGATTAACGTGCTTAATATTCCCAAGTTGAGTCTAATGATGCCAACCTCATTCTTCATTTGGGCTTGGGCCCATTTATGGGCTACCACTACTTTATTCAGCACAGATGAAACGTTGTCGTTTGAGGTAGTAGGGACTAATACGGCACCGTTTTTTGTTCTTATTCGATATATTTTAGTTCAGCCAATTGATCATGGTCCACATGTAGCCCAGTGACATACATAATAAATTTTGAGACCCGTCACATGCAACCTTTCCTCACATACCATCATGTGTGCAGCTTTTGTTCATGTGGGCCTTCCTTGCCTTGCATTGCATGGTTGATCTGATCTAATTATCACCGCCTTGGGGTATTGAGTCTCTTTCTATGAACCATATAGTATTGAAATATTCGTTAATATGATTAATAGGAGGAAATTTTTTAAGTATAGTTGGTTGAACCTTGTGATCTCCTTGCTTTATTATTCAATGCATGCCCACTTTGTTTAGTTGAACCTCCTTAATGTGAGACAGTTAATCTCAGTTATCCATATAAACTATTTGCTAAAAACGGTAATCTTTTTGTTCTTTTATTATTATTATTATACCTTAGTACATGGTTTACCCTTCATCATTCTATGTCCTTTCATCATGATCTCAAAAGTCTAAACTGCTTCAACCTTGGCCCTCACTGAAAGCAGTGGTACTTAATGCCATTAAAAGTTAAATCTTCTTTTAGGAATACAATACAAAATTGTGATCTAGAACCCTGAAGTAACTTTGCACTTTGGATTGCTTTTGGGGGATACTGGATTGCTTTGTCTTGATGATTGGGTTTTACATCTTAGGAGTTTCCTGAAGTACCACAAGCAGACAAAGGATGCCAAAATTGATATAGAAATTGAAGTTAAAGGAAAGAACTATTCTCTCTCACTACACACCCACACACACTCTCTCTCCACATTCCACATGCACATGTTCCTGCTATTCTTTTACTCATCATTTGCTGCAAATTACTTTAGAGTCTTCTTTTTGTCCCATTGTGACTATTCTTACTCCTGGTCTTTTCAGTGAGATATCCAGGAATGATTAGTCCCTCATTGCTTGTTTACAGGCCATACCGTGCATAGCTTCTGTGCCTTTGAAATTGTGGCTGAGTAGTAATTTTGCTTCTATGGGTGAATTTCTTGTAGATGCAACAATATTTGAAGATAAGGTAAACCCATTTGTCATTAAGGTTCTTTCAGATTAAATATTGATTCTTTATTATAACTATTATTGTTCCTCGCAAATTTGTCTGGCTTTCTGGTTGGATCACACACCAATTTATGATTGTTAAAATTCTTTGCTTTTATTTTTTGTTGTTGTTTGTGAGTTGTCCTTGTGTTGGTTGTCCGCAATTATGAACACAAGTTTTTGTTTTTTTCCCTGATATTAAACCAGATGGGAGAGAATGCTACTTCCAGTCCTGCTTTGCAAGTGTCTGTTTCTTTTGGAAGATTTGAGAATGATTCCTTGTCTTGGGAGAGATGGTCCTCTTTTTCTCCAAACAAGTACTTGGAAGAGGTTGAGAAGTGTGCCACACCTGGATCAGTGGCCCAGAAGAGAGCTTACTTTGAAGCTCATTACAAGAAGGTTGCTGCCCGAAAAGCCGAATTGCTGGCTCAAGAGAAACAATTTGAGAAAGATTCTTTCAGATCAGAAGACCAAAATGGAATAGATCTGAGTGGAAACACTAGTGGTACTGATGCAGAATATGATATATCCAACACTCAAGGTTCCATTGAAGGGGTTAAGCAAGAAACCGGTTCTGTTGGTGAGATCCATAGGACCCATGTTAATGATTCTGAGGAAGAAGTTGCAGTTTCAAGGGATTGTCAAAGTTCATCACTTGAGGTAGAGAACAAGGAACTAGAAAGTAGATCACATAGTTCCTTCCAGATAGATGAACATAAAGAAGATGTGTGCATGAAACAAGAAGAAAGTCTTAACAGTGAAGCTGAAAATGTGAAGGAAGTTTCACACGTTGTGTACAAGGAGACAGGAAAGGTTTCAGAAGTTAAAGCAAAAGATGTGAAATTGTATCATCCAAAGGAATCTAAGGTTTGCATTAATCCATATATCCATCAAATTCATGTTCATTCAAAGGTTGGCTACTTGGTTACCCTATTTTTTATTTGTGACCATCTATAGTTTGGACAGGTTAACTCTGTGAAAAGGGATAGCAATGCAACCAAGACTAAGAAGAAATCGATGCTACCTACATCTAAGGCATCCCAAATTTCCACCCTAAAAAGTTCAAAGCCTACATCAACTCCTACGAAAACAGTGACACCTTCTTCAACTAAAAAGGGAAATTCTTCATCTTTATCTAGGAGGCAAATTACTTCCAGTGTGGAAAACAAAAAAATTGCTAACAAATCTTTGCACATGTCTCTGAGCTTGGGTCCAAATAATCCTGATCCAGCTCCTCATACTGCTATGAGGAAATCTTTAATTATGGAGAAAATGGGGGATAAGGACATAGTCAAACGAGCATTTAAGACATTCCAGAACAGTTTCAACCAGCCAAAATCTTCTGGTGAAGACATATCTTTGATAAAGAAGCAGGTAATTGGAAAATCTTTATGCATAATTGTTTATTGTTGATAAGTGGTCCTTTTTTTGTACGATATAAATGGTCATATTTACCTCTAGAAAATCATATTTTTTTGAAAATGTTTTCCTCTTATTTTCATAGCAGGTTCCATCAAGGGTGACTGTGTCAAAGGTTCCGACAGCTACAGCTTTGAGGAAAGAAAATGGACGGTAAATTTTTGAATTTAAACTGATATGGAGTTTTCATTTGCATAAATTTTGTTTCCTTGATAATTGATATATTTTGCATTGCCATTATATTTATCTCTTTCATCCTATTAATGCATCTCAACAAGATTGTGGATAAGCTTATGCACTTAAGATTACCATGTGATGTGATGACGTCATATTTTTATTGGTAGATTGTTTTTATTAGTAAATGTAGAATGGATGAGGAAAGGGTAGGAAGTTATTGTTATTCAAATATATTTTTATCTTCTAACTTTTCCTAACAATATCTCCGATAATTTTAGTTAAAAAATTTCCTTTCTTTGAAACTTAATTCATAAAAGAGTATTTTGAGGAACGTTCAGTGTTTTATATTGAACAGAAACTGCCTGCTAGTTTTGGATTTGAGGAAATCTACTCTTGCTCGCCTTTTTCTTTCTCAAATTTTCACTTTGTTCAGTTACTCAATACTATTAACTTATACCCATTTATTATTATTAATTGCATTTAGTTTAGTTCAGAAGTACTAATTTACACCACCTATAAAAGGTTTCTACTCTTTTCCAGATACAATCCACAGGCTTTTCCCCTTCCATAACATAATTAGCATTGAAGTAAAATGATGGTAATATAGAGAAAATATGGGTCAAACTCCTTTCATTGACAATACATCTGATAAGATTTCTGTAAAACAAATATGATTAGCTCTATTTTGATGAAAATATAAGGAAATCAGTTTTCTGTGTAATGATCCTTTTGAAGTTATTTTTGAATAGGTCAACTAAGGTTGAGAATATTGATAAAAGAAATGGAAATGTTGTACGAACTACTCTGGGCCCAAAAAGTGACATTAGAGCTGAGAAAGGGAAAGAGGTAGGACTGGCTCTTGATGTTTGTCTATTACATTTCATTGCCTTTAACATTAGATTTTGAAAGTACTGCTTGTTTCTAGTTTTCTACCGACCAAACTACGCTCTTTCACCTTTTGTTTCTTAATCAGTCTCCAAGAAAAATAGAGGAAAAATCTAATGCAAAAGAGGTAGACAGAATGCGTCTCCAATCAAAATTGAAGGTAAAGGTATTCTTTCATGTTCCAAAATGTCTCTAGAAATGACTGGCATTTCCTATATTCCAATCCTGCCATGGCTTCTCTTAAGTTTGTTAACATATATTAAGTTTGCATCAGAGGGAATTGTTTAAAAGATAGCCTGCATAATGGTACTGTGTTTTATAGAATCACTAATAAGGTTTTTAGATAGATAGTGCTATTTTCATCTGCAAAATATGAATGAATGGCATTCTGAACTTTGTATTCCTCACACAGGAGGGAAAAGAGGAAGAAATGAAAAGGCTAAAACATAATGTCAAGGCCACACCCTTACCAGCTCTTTACCGTGGTCAAAAAGCATCAAAAAGTCGTCTAGAAAAGGTATGTGCATTACATTTGATCTGTCATATCTACCATGTCAGCAACAGGTGAAGACTAAGGATAGCAGATCTTTGCTACATAAATTGTAATTAATGTTTGTTGGCTAACTGTTTCTTACATTGATTTTAGGTAATGACTGTCTATTTCTTTTCTTTATATTTAATGCTATAAAGCAATAGGAAAAAGCTGTTATTGATTGCATTCTGGAGACACATGCAAATGACTAGAAAACTAAAACTTAACTTTTAATTGAAGTAAGCTAAAACTTGTGTTCCTCGACCTATAACTGGCGTCTGGTTACTGTAGACTAGTTAGGGAGATCTATGAGATCTAGCTGTTTTCTTCTGCTATATAAGTAAACCGTTTTCTGCCAATAGAGCACAGTGGTTTGTGGGTCATACAAGAGATAATGATAAAAGTACTTGTTTACATTTAACAGCATATCTAGGATTACAGTACCAGTAAGAATTTAAGATATCAATGTTCGCTGGTATATCTTGTCAGTCATTAACCTTTACTAATTCCCATCAAGCCATCTGAGGCATGATTTGCGTGCTATTTTGGAGAACAATTTTGCCATGATGCTATGTAGCACCCCTTGCTGTTTAAAACACTGAGAGCTCTATAAATATTACTACACTGCTATATCAATTATTTATACACATGTATCAGGGGAAAAAAGAGGGGGGAATGGGTGAAAGCAAAAACAGAAAAGATTAAATGAAGCATATTCCATTAACTGTTACTGTGTCATGTCTACTCATGCAGGGTGATGCTAAAACTGAGAAATCTCGGTAGCCCCACAAGTGGTCAAGATGAAGAAAGAGGGAAGAAAAGAGGTCAAATAATACACCAGTGTGTCAGGTAGATCCGTATGTTCAGGGGAAAGGTTTATGGAAACAGTTTAACGCTATGATACTTTTGTTTAGTACGCAATAAGGGAGCAATCTTATAGTTAAATAGGAGCTTATGAATATTATGAGGAGAAGAGGAAGGCATCATTTATTGATGATAATTTTCTTCCTAGCACCCTTCCTAGGCAATATTTTGGTTAGAAAACAATATTGTATAATGTATCTAATGTGAAAAATGCATATATCGCTTGTAATTGGCTGCATCATTTTTCTTCTTGTCTATCCATTCTATGGATGATTGATATAGTTTCCAATGTGTTGTAGACCATGTATCTCTAAAAAGCTAAGGTGATATAAACCTTGTCAGTCTATAGAGTTCAACTCACCCATCTACCCCTTCACATGCAAAGATGCAAGACTTGTTGCATTGGGAAACATGATTGAAGAATTTTCAGAAACATGGAACAAGATAATTAAGTGGATTACACAATGCAGATTAAGTTCAGTATCAAGTTTGACACACTTTATGTTCTGTGCAATATACACTGTGATCAGAAATAAATCTTGCTGGCTATGCTATCTACATGAGGAAGAACTCTTGCACTAGCAACTTGGAATTTTGAACAATTGTACAAAAACTCTCCTACTTCCTATTCTTTTTTTGTTTATTATGCTTTCTTTTTGTTTTCCCTTCAATTTTGTAGTCAAGCTTAAAGTAAAAAAAAAAAACATTTATGCATACAATTATGAAGATGTCTAATACTTCCAAATGCATGTATAAGCAAGATGGTACAGTTGTCACTGAAAAGTTAAAACCGCCCGACCTTTATAATAAAAAGGAAACTTGCTTGCAGAAATAATTGTCAGTGGGAAGAAAATTTATGAATGTTTTCTGACATAAACTGAGACCTATGCAGCTAAGATATTAATGTCAATTTGCTGTGTACTTTGCAGAAGCATATCTGATTCATTGTCTTGGTGAGTTAAGTGAAAATAATCATTGATGGCATGAGTTCCTTTGGTCCATCTTGTCAACGCTGCTCTATTAGTTCATTGCATTAGGCCTAGCTCCTTCGTGAGCTATGCTAAACACGTGTTTGGAAGAATTTTTGCACATTTAAGTTTGAACGAAATTAATTTTATAAAAATAATTTTTCATAGAAGTAAGTTTAAAGTAACTTAATTTACGTTTGAATTTTTTTTCCTAAAAGTAACTTTTTAATAAACTTAAGTATAAATTTTTAACTTAACACAAAAACTACTTCATTATGCCGACTCAAATGTGAGTTTGAAAGTAAAATTAATTTGGATCGAGAGCAATTCAACATTAAAATTTTCTGCAGAGCGATTATAATAAAATAAACGTGATTCCATAGCATTTTAACGTCTAAACATGCACTGTACCCGCTACTTAGGCGACATGTCCTATAATTGAAAGAAAATCCGTTCATTGAACTTGCAAATACAATACAAAATGGAAGAAACGGAGCAAGTTCTGGACTTATGGTTGATGACAAAAGAATTCAACATCTATATATACAAGAGGCTTAAAAAATATGCTCAAGAACAATAGTTCTCTGTACAAGTGACACGTACGTTTTAGATGTTAAAATGTGGAAAATGATAACATCACAAGAATGGTTTTACTTTCTGAATTTGCTCGACACAAACTAGTCTCATCGTTGCCAAAGTTCACAGAATCTGAAAACCTCCAGCGGTGAGCAGCAGTACTTTGGAACTTGTATTGAACTCCGATGTCTAGGACTTAGCTATCTTATGTGAATGGTCCAACAGAAACAGTTAACTCAGTTAGGCCAATCCTGGTACCTCTCAGCAGACAATTACAGTGTTACTCTTAATTTACCTTAGGTATCTTCCTCTTCTGCATGTTACGTGCAATCTCAATGCATGCTTGATCAACCATTCCCAGAAAATCCTTAACTATGACAAATAGATAAAGAGGTTGTTCTGCACTATCTTTAGAAGTTCCTCCTTGGTAATAATCTGTTGTTCTTTTCACAAGTTGCATTACCCTTGTTTGCTCCTCCCTCACTAATCTCAATTCCTCTTCAGCATTTTCAAGAAAATGGTTCATTTCTATCACAAAGTTTCCACCATTGTCATTCCCGCAATGGGAAACAAGTACTCTAATCTCTGCTATCCTGGCTGAGAGTGCTGAGATTGAACCAACAAAACTGTTGTAATCTGTAACCGCAGCTTTCTTCACATTGGAAAACTCAGAACTGATCCCTCCTACAATTGGCAATCCTAGTGTTATGTATTCCCTTTGTCTTTGTTCATTTGAAACAGTTGAGTTCGGGGAGTCTCCACTGCTGCTACTGCTTCTACTACTACTATTACTACGACTCAAACTATAGTTGCGGTTAAGAACAGCACGTTTCCCTTCAGAACGAACTACTTCTTCAACCACAAAGTGAAGCAATGTGGTTTTTCCATCGGTGCTCTTGACATCAGAGAGTTTCCTTAGTGAAGCCAAGTTGAAAGCTTGAGCATTTCCTCTATTAGTACCTGCATTCATGCGATTTCCAGCCTTAAGCACCGCTTCAAGAAGCTTCACAAACATTCCTTGGTTTCTAAGCTCCTTACACCCCACCTCAAGGGTCTGAAGAAACTCCTTGATTTCTGCAATTTCGGAGTCGTAGTTCAACCTGAATAGCATGGCATTCAATCGCTTAAATGCTGAAGGAACAGCTTTGAGGATGTGATATAGGAAAGATTCAGCAGCTGCAAGTCTTGAAGGGTCTCCCTCAAATGCAAGTATAAGGGATTTCTCTTCTTCTGTTGGGGTTATTCTACCCAGCTTTTCAATGGTGTCTGTATTAAGGCCTTGGCCATCAATGAGTGCATCAATAACTGCCTTTCTTGACACTGCCAGAGATTTCAAAACTATAGCAATGTTCTGTGATTTCCTGGGGTCAAGAAGGAAAGCACTTGTTGATGGAGCTGTGACATCCCTCTTTGGACTCGTTGAGTTATTTACTTTTGGAGTATTATCATTTCTGTTGGTGGCAACATACCCAAAGAGAGCTTCCATAAGATCATCATCAACCCTGAAGTTTAAGAAACCATCAGTAAATGCTAAATGGAGGGATCAACTTCAAAATTTACATGTTTAGAAAATCTAGTATATTGAGATTACCTGAAAGATCCACGGTCAATTTTGTCCCACACCATAGAGTGATCAAGATTGGTATTCACTTTATCCCAATGTAATGGCTTTAGTTTTACTTCAGGTGAAGTGTTTCCTTGCTTACTTGTGGGAATTGAAGTGCTTTCAATAGGGGTAGGTGGTGGTTTTGATGATGACTTCAAAACACTTGCCTTTGGTGGTGGAGCAGGTGGTGCTGGACTCTTTCTAGCAGGGATTGGTGGAGGAGGTGGTGCTGCTGCTGAGTTCTTTTTATGGGGGATTGGAGGAGGAGGTGGTGCTGCTGCTGAGTTCTTTTTATGTGGGATTGGAGGAGGAGGTGGTGGTGGTGGTGGTATTGAGCTCTTTCTAACTGAGATTGGTGGTGGTAGAGGAGGAGGAGGAGGAGGTGCTGCACTTACTCTATTTGTGATTACTGGAGGGGGAGGTGCTGGTGTTGGTGTTTGATTCTTAGGTACTTTAGGAGGTGGAGGTGGTGGTTCAGGACTTGACATTTTTGGAATGGATGAGAAAGAAGTGGAGGGTGGTTTTGGTGATGAAGGGGGAAGGGGTGCAGAAAATGGTTGTTTAGGAGAGTCTCCAACTGATGAAGGAACAATAGGAGGAGGAGCAGGAGGTGGAATTTTCATGATTGTATATGACTCTTCAGGAAGAAATATATTCATATGGGAAGCTGAAGATTTCTCTCTAAGCAAAGGAAATTCTTGAATGGACTCAGATATTTTCCCATGGTTTCTTTCATGATCATCTTCTTTGTATTTGGAACTTTGCAAAACCTCCTTTTGAAAATCCTTGTTTGGTAAGTTTTTACCTTCAAGCTTTCTCCAATAAACCACATCCAAACCATCCTCATCAACAATAAATCCCTTCACGTTTCCTTCCATTCTCTCAAACACGTTTACCTGAGGCACAACACCCCTATCTACAGGGGAAACTGTGTTGGTTATCTCCTTTTTCCTCTTTGCTCTAAAGCACCTTTGAACTAAGAGGAAAATCAAACCAGAAAGAACAAGAGTACTTGCTGCTGTGGCAGCTACTGCAGTTACTATCTTACTTTTTGAAGAGGTTGTAGATGCTGCTACCGGTCCTGGTGATGGTGGTGATGCATGTGGCTTTAATGGTGGCTCAAGAGGGGCTGTTGAGGGGGGTGGTTGAGGAGTTTCTATTGGATAGAAAGTTTCAATATTCTGAGAAAAAGTTATTTGGCAGTGGCAGGTTGGTATCATAGAACTCTGTAGAACAAAAAGAAGGCCGAGAAGATGAAGCATCTTCTTCAAATCCATGAAAGTAGTGGCGAAAAGATTACAATTACAATGAGGTTTCTAAAACCAGATATGCTGTTTTGCTTTTTCTGTTCTCCGATCATTGCAAGATTTGTCCTTCTTTGTCTTGTGCTTTTGGTTTTGCTCGCTGACAATTTCAATAGAAGTAAGCAGTTAAATAGTATTTGTTTATTTAGCCTTCTAATTTAACAGGCAATTATGACCAATATGACCCTTACCCTTGAATTGAGTAAATTATGCAGTAAACGGATGATTTAGTCATTTAGTTGTTTCATTAAGATTTGGTCGAGAGTTGAAATTCACAAGTGGGCGTGCAACTGCTATACTATGTCAAACATGTAAGACATATGATATTCTTACGGATGTTTTTACAACAACTCATACAAAAAGATAAATTGTGGCATTAATTATTTATTAATTAAAAAACACATGTCAAAATTTAAAATGATTTTCTTTTATTTTCTGTATAAGTTATCAAGTAACTTTTATAAGAATATTATTTCTCCACATATTAAGGTACAGGTTTGAAGTGGTACAATCATGATTCAGAGGCTTTTTCAAATGCCATAAACTTGTCGTACAGTATTCAAAGTCTGACTTAGCTTTTGTCTTCAAATGTGAATGTGAAATACTAGCAGACTTTCATAAATTAACAGTTTTAAAGGCTTAAAATAAGAAGGGGTACCAATTCCATTCTAGGAATTTTAGCTGAAGGATTTGGTTGACTTATGAGGCTCACCAAATTCTGTTGACTGCATGGTCTTGCTAAGGCCAACCCCACGATTGAATATTCAGTATTCACTATTTAAGAGAGTGGCCTAACAATACGGTGAAGTGGTTGGGTTGGGACAATGTAAATATGATGCTATTCTTTATGGTTCCTCTCGCTTTTATTTTTTCAAATCACATGTTTATTGGTTATGTAAACTAAGATAGTTTTATGTGCAATTTAGCAACAGTTTTAATTCTAATGCAATGTTAATGTAAAAAATATTATTTTTTATTGTATATTGTCGCATTATTTAATTAATCTAATAACATGAGACAGTAAAATATTAAATGATATAACGATATATTGTTTGATACATAATATAAGCCCCAATAGTATGAGTTTAAATGAGTAAATCGTTTTTCATCAGATAAAACTTCTGTAAAGTTAATATCTATAAAGTGAAAAAGTAAGAGGTAATCTGTCATTAATTTAATTTAAAGTATATAGTAGTATTGATCTATGAGAATTTTAAGGGTGAACAATGTTTAACTTTCTTATTCTAAGTTCACTTTAGAAGAGTTTTTATTTCTTTCCTTATCATAGATTGTGTGTGACACTTGATAAGATAAGGTTTGGTCTTTACATCTTAATCCTATGATTATATGATAAACCTATGAGGCCCAAGTTGACTTTATAAGATTATTGTTTATGAACTTGGATAAAAATACATTATTTCAATTCCAAATCAATCCTAAAGATCCCATTCTACGACACCCAAACCCATAGCTAAGTGACATTGATCTTCAAGAGTAAAGCTTCGTTTCTTACCAAATAAATGTAAGTGAGGCTGAATTAATGGCCTAACGCCATAGTGAACATGGTGCTGATCCAAAAGCTGCAACATCAACAGTCCATGAACTGCATTCCTCAAGCTTCACCTTCGATTGCATCATGCTTTTGACTCCTTGTGAGTACATGAAAGAATCAAGGAAAATGAGGGACTACTTGCAATTTTGATTAATTCAGAAATGCCTTGAAAGCTTTCTGTTATTGATGTTTATATCTATATGTATATAAATAAATTTTACAGCACATTAGTATTTAACACTAAATTTATTAACTATAATACATAGCTAATTTAATAAGAACTACATTAAATGTTAATAATATAATTAATTGTTGTATTCATTGATTGCAATGCATTTTAAAATAAAAAAAAATCAAATGCATATTAGTATTTAAGTTTCTATTTATTAAGTATAATATATAATTAATTTAATAAAAATTATATTAAATATTAATGATATAGTTCAGAATTTAATTTGAATACATTTATAGAGTAAAATTTTCTTACACTTTCATTCAGTCATAAACTAACATATTAATGAAAATTATTAATTTTTTAATAATTAATTTGAAATTCATATTTACTGTGCATTTTTTTTATTAACAATGTAAATTTTTTTTATACTAACAATAAATTAAAATTAAAATATGCATTTTAATATTATTAATCATAAATTTATTACATGACTAGTTTTTCATATTAATAAAAATTATTAGAAGATGATCAGTACAAATTTAATACCTAAAAATATATACTAATTAAAATATATACATTTAAAAAAAAGTATTATTATTTAGGATAAAATTACTTTATAAACATGTTTTAAAATAATAGAAATAAAATATACATTAATATAATAAATTCAAAATGATAAATATATATGGTAATTTATTTCTTAAATTATTAGTAGTTAAGTACAGTTATTGTTCCATATAAACTGTGATGCGTTACTACATATTTAAATATTTACTAATTTTTTATTTATTATTATTTATAAGACATATTGAAGAAACACAATTAAAATGTATATCAATATGTTTTTAAAATTATTTAAAAAATTATATATATATATATATATATATATATATATCTTTACAATATTTTATCCAAATACTGTTTGTTCATTTTAATTTTATTTTATGTATATAGTTATATTAAATTGAATTTGATCCATTACAAATAATCAAAGAAAAAAATATATACATGCATGTTATATAACAGAATTATATATAGGATCTTTTATATATTAAATAAATAGATTCATGCTATTTTATATATAATGAATAAAATTATAAGATTGAAAAAATTAAATTACCAATATTGTGTATTGTATTGAAAATATAATAAATAAAAAAATCAATTAACATAATATTATGATTTTTTATTTTATTTATGATAAAACTTGTTAATAAAAAATAAAAAATTGATTTAATGTTGTTATTACTTGTCTAAAAAAGAACCTCTTTTTTATTTTATACATACACCTACATCTTTTTGTTGTTTAGAACTCTTAGATGGTAAAATAGCTTATAATATGTTTCTAAATATTATTATTGTATACAATATTAAGTTAATACATTTTAAATAGATATATGTATATTTAATTTTAGGTAATTTGAAAATTCACTTTTTTGTCAATTTTTAAAATGATTTTTTAATTATTATTTTTTAATTTAAGTTGAAATTAGCACGGAGCAAACATGTTCAATTAATAAACTTATAGAACATTATTATTTTGTCAAGAATAACTTTCTTGTTAATGATAAGTCACATTGATGAATTTAGTCATATAATATTCAATAATAAGTAATTATGCATATAAAAAATCTTATACAATTTAAATATTAAGTGATATGTAATAAGTAATTCAATGACAATTATTTTTTTATATCGTAAACTAAATTGACAAAATGAATTAGTTAACTTGATTAAGTTGGCCAATAACAAAAAAGTAAGATTTGTATATGTTAAGTTAAAAAGACTTAAATTTAATTTAGAGTCGTAAAATAGTGTAAAAACAGGTAAAATTTGATTATTATTTTTTTAAGTTTAAAAAAGAATATTTAATTTTTTCACTCGCAGGGGGACAGTTGCCGTAAAGGTTTAACTGATGTGCTCTAGAAACAGACATATTAAAAGAAAGTGTCCTCCCAAATGTATCAAACCAGCAAGAAATCGTTACCTCACTATCTATAGCCATAGATTCATGTTTTTCAATCTTTAAAAGCTTTTATTGAGTCGTTGAAAATTTTGTGAGGCAACCTTAGATGTTTGGACCAAACAATAAGAGAGTTTAGTTACGCCTAACTAAATCTCCGGAAGTGAGAAAATGGGTTTGGTACTTCGACACTCACAAACGATCGAGTTCTTGTTCAATTGTGCTACTTTTTTATTGAGAGTTCAAAAGAAGTTCAGTTCTATTATATAATCTACAATTGAGGCTAAAAAAGAAGAGGAAATTTTTGAAAAATAAAAACTGTATAATTTTCTTTTTGTTTCTTTTTGGAAGACTCACTAAAATTAAAATAATTTACAAAAATATTTAAAAATTATTATTAATAACTATTTATAATTTATATATTTTTTTAATTTTTTATCAGAGATTTTTTACACTTCAAAACATTATTTAAACTATACTCAGCCGTTTAATACTCAGACTAAACTTCATTAATAGTATAATTTTTATCAATTAGATAAATTGTTTTAGTATATTATATAAATTTTAAACACGGAAATACTAACAACTATTTTTATATTTTTTTTTATTCTACATAGTTAATATATTAAATATAAATATTTTTTATCTAATAAGAATTAATATTGCATTAAAAGAAAAGATTTACATAATTATACTGTGTAAATATGATATTTATAAAATATTAAATTTATTTTTAATTTTAAAATATTCTCTTTTCGAAATTCAACTCTCATAATTTTGGTCAGCGGCGAGGGATTGGTGGGGATGTGGCGAACAAAAAGGCAAAATTGACGCAAATTGTGAGTCTAAACTTTGATGGGTACGTGAAATTAGCCGAGTCACCACTCAGCCCCCAACTTCGAACAATTGTACTACCAATTAGGTCGAATTTGTTGCTTTGAATAATTTTATTTATTTATTAGATGTACATGTATAAAAAAAACAAAATAATTATGTAAAAAAGTATTTATGACAATGTTTGATTAATTTTTTATTGAAAAAATCATCCTAGGTGAACATAAAAAAATGTGTGATTTAGTTTATTTTAATTTAAATGTAATATTAAAATTAAACTAAATTCATATTTTATAATTAGTTTGAATATTTTTACTTTTTTAATTTATTTGAAATGTTTTTTCAAAGAGTAGCTTAATTAATGTGTGTTTATAAAAAAAAACACTAATTAAAAAGGTAAAAGTATAAAAGAATAATAAATTTATTTATAAACATAATAATACTCAATTAAGAGAAGATAAAATCTAAATAAAAAAAGCTATATATCTTATATTTATAGAATATTGCTATAATATAAAAAAAATAATTTTTATGTATACAAATATATAATCTTTTTACATTAATATAAATTTAAAAACTTTTATAACTTATACTTAATAGTAAATAAAGTTATAACTTACTAAAAGTAAATTAAATAAAAAGTTTAAATTATGTATAAAAGTTTTTAAATTTATATTAATATGAGAAGATTCAACTCTGTATATATATTATAGGTAAACTAAAAATTAAATCAAAATATAAATAATGATTTTTTAAAATTGTTAGTTTGATTAATTTTTTATCTAATTGATTTTTTTATCAAAATAAATATTTTTATTTTTCATTTAATATTTTTAAAAAACTTAAATCCCTTTAAGTACAAGCCGATTTATATATCAACCAACAAAAATTCGTATAGATTGATTTAAGGGATTTATCACAATTGGTTTTCATTAAAGAGTTTAACATGTTTAATTCTATTTCTAACATTTAGTCGCTTAGAAAAAAAAAATTCTAACATTTTGTCGATATAGAAAAAATCAGATATGGAAAATCCCAATTATAATGTTGTGTGTTATGGTGTTGTAAAAATTAATACATTCTTAATTTAAATAAACTGTTAATTATATCGAGTAATTTTAAAATAAAAAAAAAAGTCAAGTAGCTTTGTGTATATCCATATTATTTTAATTGCCAATTATGGAGAGTAAAAAAACTTTCTAACATTTTATTGTGAATATTTTTTATTTGTAGACAAAATTACTTATAAAATTTTGAGGAACAAGCAATGTGATATGGTTGGTTGAACAAAAGTTAAGATAATTAAAAATTTGCCGAAATCATGTTTAAGTGTTTTGTAAGTAATATTCATTGTAACAATCATGTATTGTTTAATAGTTTTGTTTTATTATTAACTTGATCAACGATCTGTAAAAAAAACATCCAAAGAAATACATTTAAATAATACATAATTTTATTTTACCGAAATTTGAAAAATAAATTTAATCAAATAAATAAATGTACATAAAGTTAAAAAGGTAAAATTTACATAGACAATTTTACTGTAATACAAATTATATTTTAAATAAAAAATAATCGTATAATCATGTGCGGCTAGTATATTAGAGATTGCAAAAGTCTATTAATTAAGAAAATCAATGTAATGGTTGAGGTACTTAACGTGAGGAGATAATAGATTAACAATAATGATTGTAGTGTGTGTATGAGTGAGGGGGTATTACTGGTTTTTTAATTTTCTGTGATAAAAAAAATTATATTTAATCATTTATGTAATTATTGTCTTATTTTCTATGTTTATTTAATCATCGTTTCATTGAAAGAAAAAACACATTGAGAATAAAAATAATAATTAAAAATTACCAGTGATTTTTAAATATTTTATACTGATATTATTCAATGATTTTGTAGATAAATGATTAAAAACATATTATATAATTCATTTTATATATTAAAAAATAAATGTTATCACATTATCATATCAAATAAAATCAAAAATAATTTATAAAATTTAAATTAATATTGAATTAAAAGACAATATATGACGTGAAAATCAACCCATTAGCATGATAAAAAAGTTTGATTTCTAAAAATATTTTTACTTATAAATATTCTTAAAATGATTTTATTCAATAATACTCATAACATATTTTTTTAAAAAAACTAGTACTCACAAATTATATAGAAATTATTTATTAAATGTTTAATATTTTAAACTTAAATTTTCAATTATTTTAAAAAATAATATCACATAGGGTCGAAATAATTATTTTCAATTTTTATATATTTTAACAAAGTTTTAAACGCGTATTTAAAAAAAATGCAATTAAAAATATTTATAAAACATTTTGATAATTATTTGATAGTATAATTGTGGATTGTTTTTTATATTTAGTATTTAGAAATGATAATACTAAAATATAATTTTTTAAAATTATAAAAATTTAAATTCTTCATTAGTGTAAATACAAAAAATAATTAATAAAACAACAATAAATTGATAAAGTATAACAAATCGTGAAAATTTTTAAAAGATATTAAAATATTTTTTTGTCAATAAAATTTTTAAAATAATAATACAATATTTAAAAGTATCAATAATATTTTTAAAAAAAATTCTATATTTTTAAATTTTGCTAAAAATACCATATTTTGATTTTTTTTTTCCCTAAAAAAAGCCTATAATTGTTTGATGGTCCAATCGTCGAAGTTCGTAGCTGACTACTGAGTGGTGACTTAGCTAAACGTGCGTCAATTTTGGCTTTTTGTCAGCTACGCCTACGTCACCATTCACCACCAATCTCTCCAGAATCATCTTCGTCAACCCACTTCATACACCACTCACCAAAATATTGTGAAAAGATCATCTCCTGACTCCCAAGTGAACGCTGATTTTTATATTCACCAACAAAAAAGTGTACACTGATTTCTGAGATTTAACATAAATGCTTTCGTAAGAGAATTTAATAAGTTTAGTTCAATTTCTTATTTTAGTCACTGTAGAACAGGGGTCTCGCCAAGTTCTTAGCCTCTTTGTAGACTATGCTAAGAAAGTGCTGGTAGAGTTACCACTAACATCCTTGGCCCCTCCAAATTTTATGTCATTTTAAATAGCTCATATGTACTTTAGGATGTAATATTTAAGATAATTTTTTAAAACTTTCTTTTCAAACTAAATAAGTTCATTTATTTATATTTCTTGCATACCAAAAAACATTAGAACTATTTAGAATTAAATAAATTGTTAATATATGCGTTGACTCTCTTTTAATTCCCACCTAAAAAATTGTAAATTCGTGTGATAGTTGTCTCTTAGTTAAATGTAAATCATTGCTCAACTTAATTCTAGTCGTTTCTCAAATTGAAAGCCAGATACTTGTGTGTCATTATATGATCAGTTCATCATATATTTCAGTAAATTTATTTACTCATCATTTTGAAAATTATATTTTTCCTTTAATGATATTTTTTCATTCTTTAGGTATGGGATTACTTCTCATTTGGTGTATCAAAGACTTCACAATTATTGAATACAAACCCTGTAAAAAGTCTTTCAACAGCTGAAACAGTTCGAACATAATTATTATTTCAAACACTAAAAATAATTAAGAGTGTGTTTCTGTATTTATATAAAAACCAATGAAAGTTGAATTGATTCAATTTTTTTTATGATAAACAATGTATAATAACTTCTGGTGTATCTTCTCTAATATAGCTCCACCAAAAATATCCTTTAGCCATGCAGAATAATTGAGGAATGGTGAGAGCATTTGATGGAGTTTCTTTATGAGGCAACTGGCTCATGATGATTCCCGTTTAAGCATCTAAATTTAGCCCAATTAGGCAACAAAAAATGCTTTTAGATACGAGTCTATGTGTCATCCATGATAAACTTTTGTCTACAATGATAACAACAAATATCACTAGGCCCAACCATGAGATATCCCACAGTGACAGAATCAAACAAAAGAAATCAGATTTCACGTATCACAAATTTGCCAAACATGAGCGTTATAATTAAAAACCAGAGTTTGCACCCATCATAATTTAAAAGGCACTCCATTATGGGTCCAGCCGGCAGATACAATATTGATGCCTAGCGGAAAGTTTGTCTGCTTCTTTCTTCTATTATGCCCTGCAATTTGGGTTTTATGGACCCCCAATCAAACCATCCTTCGTTTTAATTATAGGCCCAGTCTCTATGCATTAGATGGATTATAATCACTTTTGTCTGTTTCTCTTGGTCAAGTCGATAACTCATTAATTCAATTTAATTGAGTATGAATCAAAGCTAGAACAGCCATCGTGAAATTATTTACTCTTTTAGTGGTTATCTTTCTCCTCTAGTAAGAGTAACAATTATTACACTTTGTTGCTCTTATTCATTAATATAATTATTGTATTTAGAAAACTAAATAGTTTTTTTTTAATGTTTAGTCTAGAGTGCCTTCAAAAGCGTTTCATTTATCTCTTGAAAAATTGTTACATGCGTTGTGAGATTAATTTTATACTAATAATAGTAAAATTTTATTAAAAAAAGATTGATTATACTTTTATAACTTCAATGTACAAGAATGTCTGTTAAATGAAAAATCAACACCACGGCAATAATTGCAAGATAATATGAAGAAAACAAAAGTTAGATGTCTAGGATTTGTGATGGGATGATATGATTAAGCTTCAGTAGATGTAGAGAGCTGTTCCAGTTTGTATTGGCATTGACAACCCCAACCACCAAATTGTTCACCCAACCTTATAAAACAAATGCTTTGGGAAACGTGAATCTCCCCTGCAACAACAGGGCGTAAGTAGATCACTCTGGTCCAGTATCAACAACCAAATATTCTGGTTCCACCTCCACATGACACACGCAATGTTTTCTGATATTACACAAAGTTTATTGCAGCTAAACCTCCTCCATTGAAGACAGTCAGACAAATATAACAGTTCTAATGCCCCACAACACCTTCCCACCCTCTTCCTTAAGGGAACACTTGAACCATTTCCAATTCACTTCCCCATTCTTTATAACAGACAAGATCTTGCAAACTTTTATTCCATCTGTTTCACATCTTTTCCATCCCCAAATTCATACCCCTTCTACCCCATATAGTATTATTTTATTTCATGATTTTGATTAAACGTTTATATAAAAGGGCATAGTCTTTTTAATTCATCTTTACCCTTTCTTCAAAGACAAAGGAAAACAATAGTAAAATATTTCAATTTCTCTTTTTTTTGGGTACATAATATATTTCAATAACTTTAACCCACCTTCATACAAACAAACAAAATAAATTAACGATAGATAAGAGCAGGGGAATGCAACAAAAACCGTTACACAAAACGGGTAATTGCAACTCGAACCCCAAAAGAGGAAAACAATAAATTTTAAGAGCAAAAAGAAAAAAATATGGATGATGATATAAGAAAGTAGTCAATCGGTGCTAGTCATTTTAAGCCGTCTGATTGGAGAATCAAGGACGCTAGGTGAAGATGAAGGAGATGACGAGGGTGATGGTGATGATGAAACTGAAGAAATGGACGGTGGCGATGATGACACGTCAGAGGTGTCATGCAGCTTCCTTTTGTTGTTGATCCCCACAACAGCACCGCCACTTTCTCTGTCTTGGCTCTCCCTCGTTGCCATGTAACCTTTCAAACGTTTAACGTCAGATAACTTCACTGGCTTCACTATGAAATCCTCTGCACCTTCCTCCAAGCATCTACATATTTTCAAAATTACCCAGTTGTTTCAATTTCCAAAATTTAAATAACATAATATTACAGTGATAATTTTTCAAGTTGTAAAAATATTTAATATGTGTTCATTAAATTCGCATTAAAATAATGATAATACCTGTCTATGCGCGGTAAAATGTTTTCAGAAGACATGATCACGACGGGGATTTCTCTAAAAGTGGACGATTCCTACATCAAATTAAAACTTTTAACAATTTTCACTTAACATTATTTTAAAAAAAAGGTTTATATGATTCGAATTTTAAACCTTGATTTTTTTAAGCAACTCATAACCGGTCATTTCCGGCATGCAATAGTCTGTGATGATTAGATCCACCTTCAAACCTGGCTAAGGAGAAAGAAAAATAAAACACAAAGCAGAATATTAAGGTCCAGTTTAAATGGAAAATAAAAATAAAAAAAATGGATCGAAAATCTCTCTGATACATACGACAAAAGCATCAGATTCAGAGGTTCTTCTCTGCTCGTCCAGACCCAGAAATTGCAGCGCTCTGATTCCACTATCCACAGCAGTGACTGCAAATTTCCCATCCAAACAAACCTTAAACCAAACGAAAAAAATGAAAAAAGAGCATCCCAAATTTGGTTTTGTTTTGTTAAAGCACACTAACCTTTACAAGCTGAGATTTTGAGCAAGCGCTCAATGACCTTTCGATCAACGAGGCTGTCATCAACGGCCAAGACATGAACCTCTTGGGAATCCTCCGGCGAGACATCAAGCGAAACAACAGCGTTGGAGTCCATCGAAGGAGAGAGAAGAAAGTGAAACGAAAAGAAAAGAGAAAGAAGAGGAAGGGGATTCCTTAACGTGGGTAGGGAAATCTTAAATACAATGTAATTACAGTGTAAATGTAATGTGACATGTTGTTATGTTGTTGCTCAATATCCATCTGTCACCGCTCTCTTTCTGAATAATAATAAAAGTCTCTTTTGGAAAATCAAATCTTAAAATCTTCTCTTTTTTTATTTATATTTTTGGAAGATGGCGCTGAGATTCTGATATCCACTTTGGTGTGTAATCTCAAAGACTTTTTCTGATCCCTACACTACGCTACTAAGTAAAGTATTAATGACACGTCTCCAGCACGATATTTCGCCGATGTGTCACGAGATTTTGGTCAATCATGGGAATTTGTGAACCATGTTGCACAGTCATTGGTCGAGAGAGCCAGCAGAGTTGACCGGAGTCAATGCTGAACGAAACCGCGCCGTCAAATCCCTCAACCGGTGGCATCACAAAAACTGCTTTTCACGGCGTCGTTTTTTCACTGTTCCTTGTTTGGTAATTCGTGAAAAGCGGGAACTAAGGTTATGTTTGGATAAAATGATTTTAAGAGAAAAAAATATATGGATAAAGTGATTTTGTGATTCAAAGGATCATTTTCTTATTTAGTAGATTTATTATTTAGTAAAAGGAAAAAAATTAGAGAGACGGGATTCATACAAAAATACACACCATTAATGTCATGAAAAGGGATGGAAAGAGACGTTGGATATTTTTTAAATTTTTTTAATATATATTTAAAGATAATTTTTTTTATTCATTCAAATAAATATTTTTTCGTTTTTATAATTTCATCTAATTTTAAAAGTTCACTCAAACAGAGCCCAATAAAGATACAAGGTGCGTGTGCATCTTTCTTTTATGTGGTGTTGTAAATAAAATAAAGAACACAATGACAGTAGAGAGTATCTATGCTAATCTCGTTGGAAGCGATATCATACACGTGCTGCCTCGTGTGTGTTATTTACTATTTACCTCTTTTGTTTTGATTTCTATGTCGATGTTGATGTGCCTTTTGTGGTAAAGGTTGGTGTTTATAATGTACAAGATATTCCCATGTTGGAAATTAGATAAGGAAGTGAAATTTCGAAGCGATTTGCGTTGTATTTTGTTCCTGCTTTTTGAATTTTAAGCTTAAGCTTATGCTTAGTGAGGTAATATTTAGAAGATATTCTTTATGGATTGGAGAATATTTGATAATTGATGAAGATTGGTCAAGACTTATAACAGTGCCAGCTCAAAATTACAAACAAAAATTATATTTTATCCGTCCCAATAATTCATTATATTTGAGTAATAATTCTAAATCATAACATGCAAAGATCAGCGACTTGTACGGTCGAAGGACATGGGAATGATTTTAATTTTCATAAAGTCAATAAAAAGTTTTTAAATTAAGATAATGCAAAACCCAACTTGTCTAAATTAACTTAATTAATCTCAACTTTAATCTGAATATCGGTTTGGACATGGAAAATCGTTTTGGCTTCAGGTTTACGCAGAGCCACGTTAACCGTTTTTAGGTTTCATGCTAATGGGAAGTATTTGGTAAAAATGTATTTTTAAATAAATAAAAATAGCATTTAATTTATATAATCATGTGTGAATTGTTAAAATTAATTTTTTTAAAATTATATGGACACTTAAAATTAATCTTAATTATTTAAATTTATTATTTTTTTAGACCTCGTGTATCCTCCTATTTGTCCCATCATTTATCTTTACTTTGAACAAATTATAGGTAATTATATTTTGTCTTAATTTTGGAATGATTTGATCAATCTATTTGCTCCATTATGTTTGCCTTTTGTTTTTGAAATGTTTTAGACATTAGTGTTTACTTTGAGTAGTCTTCAAAAATCACATTTGTTTTAATTTTGAACTAATTTATAATATTAAATATATTTGATTTATTTTAATGCTTCAAGTGTTATTTATTCAGATTTATACACGTTTGAGCAGCAACTACATTTGTCTCAATTTTAAGAAACTTCAATAAATTTCATTTGTTTTAGTTTTAAATCTTTTAAGCATCCTCGCCTTAACTTAAGTATTTTTGTATGCCTTATTTTGAACAACTTTAAGTAATTACATTTAACTCAATTTTAAACTAATTTAGAATATCATGTTTGTCCTGCTTTTGCAATATTTTAGAAAGTACTTACCCCAAATTAAACTACTTGAAGCATTAAGTTTTCTTAACTTTTAAATGTTTCAAGTATCTCGACCCTTATTTTGAATAAGTTTGAGCAAATCACGCTTATCTCAATTTTAAATTGATGTTAGTAATTAAATTTTTTTAATTAATTTAATTATAAATATATTAAATATTGAACTTAATTAAAATTACATATAACATTTAACTTACACATGTAGTGGTTAAAATTTATTTTTTTATTCGTACACAAAAAATATTCTCATATAGAAGTTTTTTGAGCTGGAGTTGAAAGCTTTAAGATCGAGGTTGTGGCAGATCAAATCAACGAGGGATATAAAATTTTTTATAGCGATATGTGAATTCTTGGAGTTGTTTTCCCAAGAATGATTTTATTTATAAACTAATATATCGTAATCAGATGAGAAGTGCTGCGAATCCCCCATTCCAACCTGCTATTGCAAATGGGACATTGAAGAAAAGTAGAATGTGTCACTGTGCTTCATTCATCAATCTTCATAGTCAATAACAAGGCGCAGTCCTCCTTTTTTTATTCACCGACTCAGTCAGTACTCAGACATAATTTGCATTAGGGTGATCATAAATAGTAGGAAAGTGTAAAGTACGAAAATTTATAAATTTGAAATTATCAAATGAAATTTTACATACTTAATTATAAAGAAAATAATAAGTTTTATTTCCTAATAAAATTAAGTTTGGATAATTTTGTGCAGTTTTTTTATTATAAGTTTCGTAGTAATTGATATTTTTGTTTGCATTGTGTGCCATTTATTTTATTTAAAAAAATGATAATACATGCAGTGTTATTAAAATATTAAAAAAATATATTGGAGTATATAATTATTTATATATCATTTATAAAATTTACTTTTATAATGTGAGAAAATCAAAGTTATTTATTTGATATAAGTTTAATTAGGAGAGTATATTAATAAGTTAAAATGATTAACTTTATTTTTTCTACAAAGTTTTCTTTAAAAGAAAAAGATGAAGGAAATTTTAATAGATTTTGTTATTTTATTATTTTCCTTTTTTGGATAAGAAGAAAAGAAATGGTTTTTTTTTTCAATCTATCATATACATTTGTGTATATTTTCATTCATTTTATAACTTTTAGCGAAATTAAATAAAAAATAAAATTACTTGTTCTTTTTTATTAAATAATACTCAAAGTGCTTTCGTTTAAGATCAATTTTTCTAGAAATATTTTAAAATATGTTAAAGTGTTGGGATAAAATTTTAATTAAGATATAAAAAACAAACTTCAAATTATTTTAAGATTTTATGATGAACATCATCTAGAAGTATTATTTTACATAATTTAAAATTTATTTTTGGTCTTAAACAAAGGAAAACTTTTTAGAGGAGTAATATTTTTTTTTAATTTCTGCTGCGTAGTGTTAAACGAAGCCGAAAAGTCTATTCCACACATGCACTACTTATTCATCACAAGTTCAGAAGTAGATGGTTTTTTTAATTAAAATAAATAAATCATATATGTAATTTGCATGAACTGTTGTAATGATAATAATAATAATAATTTAAGTTTTGCTCAAATCACGAAACATCAAATATAGTTGCACTCTAGCTTTAAAAATGAAAGCTTTATTTTAAAAAACAATTGATTCCAGGAATCCATATAAAAAACAATCACAGGATTTACTAATAAACTAACACCTAATAAGAAACCGACAATTAAATCGTAAGTTTGTTCATGTCATATGCTTATTAATCAAAAAGGTCAAAATACATTTCGAAAGAGATAAATTTTGAAAAAATCAGCCCTAATTTGAACTATTGGTGACTACAAATCTACAATGAAATCAGCCTTAGAAGTTCTTCCAACTTGACAATCTCAACAACCATCTAACTTTACATACCGAAATTATTAGATATTAGCTTATTGCACTAAAACAAGATCATCTCTCCATGCATGCTGACAATAGAAACAGATACAATTAGTTCAAGCTTAAGTGCTAAACTGTGTTTTCTTGGAATCACCAAAAAATCCAAGCTACTTGGTTAACCTTTCCAAACAAGATGCATATATAACGATCAAAACGAAATTTAAATTTAGGTCCTCTCTTATATTGGTCAAATTGAATCTCAGACCCCACAAAAATTTATGACCCCATTTTTCTATTTGGATCCATCTTTCCAACCATCCATAGTTATGGGTCAGTAACTACACACCGCACATTTGAATAGGTCAAATTCATATGCTTTTGACCTTTGGGAACTTAATTTTATGAGAAGGGGTTGTTGCTCAATGCTGAGTTCAGGGTTAATTGGCTAATAGGTATCATAGCTCATTTGCATATTATATTCGTTCATTACATGGAATGCATATTATGCCCGACCAACTGAACAAGCTATTTGGATTAGATCCGATCAATATAATTCGAAGTTCAAATATTCAATAGAATCGTGGACTCTTATTATATAATAACAAATAGTAGCTACCTTTTGTAAAGGGTTTAAAGGGAGAAAAAAATAACCCATCGAATAGTTGGTATTTTATTTGATTACTCAAGATTTGGCATCTCCTTTTTTCAATACTGAGTGTGATCTTGGGGTATCATTTTTATTTGCTTGTACTATAGCATTATCATAGGAACATTGGATCTCACTTTACCAAACAGGTAATCAAAGCATTTTCTTTGAACGTCAAGCAGAATAAGAAAACAAAGAAAGAAAGTTGGTAGCATCCTTCATCTTTTCAAACACTAAAGAGATACGGGACATTGAAGGTGGAATTCAAGGATATGCTATGATATTATAGGAATGCCAATGTTTAATTACTAGGATTATAAATACAAATGGGTCGCCTAAATGACCTTTTCGAAATGAAATGGTTAAGGTGTTATGTTCTGATGGCCAGGAAATTGTTGAAACAACGCAGGAATATTATATATATATTAGCTTTTTCTATTGAGGAAAGGGGTTAAGCCCTTTTTTAGTAAAAAAACAAAAAACTTCGAAATAAAAAAGTTTCAAGAAAATGCTTGAGCTTGATTCATTTTAAAAGTATTCACACAAAACATATCCGCACTCATTTATTAAGATATAAGGATAGAGAGAGAATATGAAGAAAAAAGTTAGAAAATTAAAGAGAGTTAAAACATTTAATAAATTGTTTATGTTCTCATTGATTCCTCATTTTTAAAAAGATTGAAAAAAGAATATTTTCCCTTTTCATATATACTTTGATACGCTTTACTACTTTTAGTGATAAAAAAAAAACACCAACGAAAAATGATACAAGATTAAATGAATATGATCATGTTGTTGCCTTCAAAGACACATTTTTTTTTTTATATTTAAGATGACAATACGGCAAAGATAGTACAAGATCACAGGCATTTTGAAAACTTGAGAAAGATCATCAATTTAGACAACTAATATATTTTTCATCTAGCTTGATTGTTTGATCATGTTGCTACATGAAATTGATTCTCGTTCCTAACATATTGTGCTTTATTTCAAGGGTTGGTGCAGGTGGATGAAGGAAATTTTTCTTAGAAGAAACCCAGCTCTAAGATAATAAAAGCTTCACAAATATCAAATTGGTGCTCTGTATCTTGGGAAGCATGGAGAATTTCCTATTTTGGAGATTTTTTTTTTTACAAATGATCTTTAATGTCTTTGTGAAATTAACAATATTAGAATGGAGAGTTGGTTGGTTGTTGCCCTTCATATGACTCCAGTTGTGCCAATAAGAGGTTCTACCTTAGTTTTGGAAAAGTAAGTAATAGGAAAAACTATTTAATAGGCCTTTGTGGTAGTTCATCAAATATTGAATAAAATATTTTATTAAAAAAAATAATGTCTAGATTATTATCTAGATTTCAAGAGCTGTTAAATAATATCTAGATTTCCTTATCACTTTGGAATGGGACCATGACAATACGTAATTTCTTTTGATTAACTCATTGTTTTGTTTAGGGATATTTGTTATTAAGTATTAATTAATTCATAAACATTTACTAAGCAGTAATGGACAATTCAAGAGTATATGTATGTATGTATCATTATTTAGAGGGAAACAAAGCTTTAGTCATCCTAAAAGTTAATATATTCAAATTAATATAAAAAGTAAATTTAAAAAATACTTAATTTGATGATATAAACAGTTGAGATTTGAATAATTTTTTGACAACAAAAATTTTAAATTAATGAATTTAGAAGTTTAAACGATTAAAATATAGAAAAAATAAATATAAAATATAAAAAATTTATTTTTTTAAAATGTAAAAGGATTATTTTTAATGATAAAATCATTTGTTCTAAAAGACAAAATATAATAAAAATTATCACTTTACCAAAAAAATAAATTTATTTAATTACGTAATGGATTTTTTTGGGTCAACTGATGTTTTCCTGCTTGACTAATAAAATTTTCTCATTACGTCAAAGAAATGGAAAAGAATGGGCCATACTGGGCCTGGCGAGGGAGGGTTGGGCCGGGCTACCGCTCAAAATATAATTGCGTGCGGTGGTCGGAAAGTGGAAAGCGATGGAGTGCGCGGCGAAGGGGAGCGGAACACGGTGCAGCGGCGCCGCCACAAGACCTTGCGCTCGTTGCGAAGCCGTTGCTTATTGCTCTCTCTCTCACCAGGTTCGTCACTGTATCAAACGATATTGCTCATGCTATTTGATGAATCGCAGTATTTTCCGCCACGCATCCACATAGCTTCGTTAACGTTGCTTCACGTTTTGTCCCTTAGATTGCGCACTGGAGTCGTCACAAACACGAGTGTGATAGATTACAACAACAGATGAAAAACATCGAAGTCCTCAACAATTTTCCTTTCACTTTCTCTCGCGAAGCCACAGTTCAGGTGTTCACTGATTTTCTTACTTCTTAATACTGCTTTTCCAAAAAATACAATTTTTTTTTGTTTATTTATTGGTTTGGTTGATTTTCATGTAATTTTAACAGGTTTGTGTAAAGCAGGAAACTAGGTGTTCATTTTTGAACCAGAGGGGCCTTCATCGAGTTGGAATGTGGATGCACGAATGCAATTGTGGGGCATCTGCTTCGTTCGATTCTTTAGGGTTTCCTCTTATTTCCTTCATGTTTTGAAACTTTTGTTAATCAAATTTATATTTTAAGTGCATTCAGATACACAGCTTATCAAGCGTTTATGCAAATAAGCTCTTTTTAAAATGTTAGTTTACGCCCTAAACTTACTATGAAACCTGTTGGGATAAGTTGAAAATAACAAGAAGCATATTGAAATAAGTTAGAAAGTGATGAGCTATTTCCATAAGCTGGTCATAAGCTCTTCTAAACATGCTCTTACAAGTGACGAGTTCCTATTTGAGTTGAACAATAATCCAGTAATTAAGCCACGGTGTACATCTAACGATTATTTTGCAGTTAAAAACCTCTACAGTTAGTTTATTATTTTAGAGCAAACTTGATGTTTAGAAATTTATTTTTGCAGGTTAAACAATGGTTGGGATCTGCCTAGAAATTTATGTCCATGTTGTGGTAACTCTATACTTCAAGCTTATTGTTCTTCAACTTCCGTTCATCTTTTCTTATTGGATTTAATTTAAAGTACAATGCAACAAATAAATGCTCAGGGCCTGACACTACCGTATCAGAGAAGTTGCATAATTGGAGAGACTATTATAAGTGGAGGTGCATCCCACTAGACTCACCTGTTGCTTTGCTTCTTCACTGGGTATGATCATGTAATTTTTTTTGCAAAATATCTCTAAAAAATTCAATATTTTTATTATCATTTCAACTGTGTTTATGAATGTTAAATATGTCATCTCATTTTGCTTGTATGCAACAGTGATGATATATGCAGTTGCCTCTTTTGGTTTATTTACAGTTTAAATACAGGGAGGGTTTCAGGCCTTCGATTTTTTTTTTTACTCAGACTATATAAAAATGAAATCTCTGCTTTCAAGTTATAAGTTCGAATTAGGGGCATAAATTGTTTTCCCATTTGTTATTATGATAGATTACTGCCACTAAATTTACTGCCTCTGACAGAAATTACAAGCATGATGTAACAGGTAGTTTTAGATTCCTTTTTTTCGAAAAAACTATATGATTGCTTCTATTTCAGCCACTTACAATATATCATGCTGCTCAGCTTGTTGGCTTGAATCCTGAAGTCCGTGATAAGTTGTACATACATTATCTTGGTAAGTCACCCACTTACAAGTTTTCTCTTAGCATTTTAATTTCTATGAAATATTTTTCATTATCTCTCTTTTATGTTAATTGTTATGAATGGGACTTGAAATATGTGATTAGTCTCTCAAAATACTTTAATCATTTTATACATATATGAAAGTATGTGAGGGCCTAGGGAGATTTATATTCAGTTTAACTTTCCAGAAAAACTACCGAAAGAACAAGATGCAACCATGGACTTTGTTATTGAATTGTAGTTTTTACATTGCTTTAGTTTGTTTTATTTCCAACGACTAACAAAGAAAAAGTACACAATTAGAAAAACTTGAGTAAGTTGACTGTGAGCGTTATTTTGAAACTTGGATTTGCTTTAACTTGAGATGATTCTACTTTTTCTGGATAAATACCGAGATGTACATGGTTTATTGAAACTTGAAAGTCAGAACTATCTTATCAAATAATAACTTCTTGTCTTATTCTATATTTTATAATGACTATAAATGCTGCTTCTCCTTCTTTTCGGACATTATGCATTTGTGATTTATATTTCCTCTAAAAATGTAAAAGCAGAAGTACTGATTCATTAATCAACTAACCTAAAACTCCTGCTTTGGTATGCCTTTTTTTCCCCCTTTGTTTTTGTTAAAGAATGAAATGAAGTTTTCAGGTTTCTCTATGTATTGTTATGAAACTTTTTTTCTCATCTTTATCAGTTTTTTCATTTTATTGATCATAAATAAAATTTTTACTTTTGAAAAGTGTAAATGCTTTCCATAAGGAGGCTTGCATATGTATTATAATAAAAAAAATTTGGATGATTTCCTGGCATATAACTTTGCTTTCATGAAATTTTATATGGAAGGACAGGACCTGAGAAAGAGCTGCTACAACTTGCGGTGTTTGGAGAATTACTGGCACTCTTTCCTGGTGTGCATGTTCATCTAGAACTTGTTGGACCTGCAATTCCTCCTCATAGGTCTTGATGCATTGATCATAAGTCATTGATTTTTCTGTCATTTGATACTTGTCATTACTTGGTCTAAAAATATATGTCCTTCCTGCCTCCCAGTAAACAGGGATGGTGAGAAGATCCACATTTCTAAGCATCCTTGTTGCAATGAACTTGAGTGTGAATGCAAACTAGCAAGTGAAAATACATCCTTAGAAACACAAACTGGTATCACTTCAGCGTTAACATTGCAGCTTTGGAAAGGATTCTATCATGACCGATATGAAGATATTGTTAAGGTATCACATTGCAAATGTCACTTGTTCCTATGATGTTGCTTTCATTTGACATAATCTTGCTTGAATTAATTGTCTGTATTATCCTCCAAAATCAACAGTTTATCTTTAATAATGTTCCACTTACAGAATTCCTTCCCTCACCTAGTGATTGCTCCAAATAGTGGCATTGCTGCCTACTCCAGTTGGCTACCAAGTATTGTACGTCTCTCACCTTGTTCTTATCCTCTGTTTAGATGTTAGTTTTAGTTTGGCTTAATTGCTCTTTTAGTTTCCTTGCTTATTGGAATGTTCGATTTTAGTCTCCCAATTTTGAATTGCACAATTTTTGTCCTCTCTTTTTCTTCACTAAATAAATTTCATCCATCTATTAAATTGTCATCTAATTTTTAACAGTTGATTGTGACAATCCTTCTCCTCCCTTCTCTCAGCCGGAGTTCCACCATGTGAATGTCGGTGGCCCCTTCACCTACACACACAACTGGGTCATTATTAAATCTTCCTCGACCAGCAACTTCAACTTCTTTCTTCACTTCCCCTCTCTCCTCTAACCCCACCGCTTCTTTTCAACACTCATTTGCAACAGTGACAAAACATCGCATGTTTCTCAAAGTTTGGAGCTTTTGTCCACGTATCTCTTGAATTAAAGGTGCAGCAAGTCATAAGAAAGTGCTCAAACTTAAGATTGGATTTTGTGTGACTTAAATCCCTCTGTGAACGGTGTTATTAGAAGGTTGAGTCATTGGAAGGAAGTGGCAGGGATAGGGTTCACTAATAGCATCAACAGGAGGTCTTGCGGGTGTTGGTTGTCACTAGTTGAGCTTCCTTCATGTGGTGGAGTGGCTTGGGAGAGAGGAGGAGGAGGAGGATTGTCACCGTTAACCGTTATAAATTGAATAACAACTAAATGAATAGATGAAAGTCGCTTAATTAAGGGAAAAAAAAAAAGACTAAAACACAAAATTGAAAATTAGAGGATTAAGATTGAATAACCCTTTAAGTAGGGGGACCAAAAGAGCAATTGAGCTTTTCAGTCGATACAGATTTTACAATAAAAAAGAATTAATACTCATTTAGAGTATGATTTGTTCATTTTTTTATCAAAATTTCAGGAGTTAATCGAAAAGATTGATGTTCCAGTTATTTTGACTGATTATTGTGAGGAAGCTTGTCATCTTGCCGCAAGTTGCATTAAGACTGTATCTCGGCGTCCTCTTAGATTGCCTGTAAGCTTCTCATTCGTTATTTGCTGTCTTGTCTTGAAAAATAATTTCATTGATCATGACCTAATATTTGAATGATCCGTTGCACCGCGATGTAGGTCCAGTTAAATCCTTTCAGGCAACCTATGGCTGTGGAAGAAAGCGTGCTGTTGCTTCCATGCTACTCGAACTGCTTTCTTTTTGGGATGTAGAGAGTAATGATCTAAATATCTTAAACCACTATATATTGGCCGGAGAGCTGTGTTAGCTCGTGTTAGCTCTTGACAGCCAACAAAATTTGTCTAAACCCATAGATATCTCACTCATGACGGATTTGTTAGAAACGTAGCTAATTGTATGAAAATCAAATTATTGCTTTATCCTATACGAATGAAAGATGCGCTGGATTCGAGCTTTGCAAATATGTTCACTGAACCAATAGAGCTCCCTAGTGTTGGGTCATTTGCAGCACGATTTATAGCAGCTACAATCATCCTGAACATTTCACGTTTCATAATACTAATTATTATGCCTCGGATATGGTAGTTAATTGATTGATAGGATACTGCTTCCAGGTCTATCACAAGGTCTTTGCTGGATGGCAAATTTGATTTCAACTATCAAACCATCCTCCTTCTGCGGCTTCCTCCCTAAATACCAGACAACGGTGCTCTCAGCCAAAAGATGAAATACCTGCTGTATATTTTATATTATACCATCGTCATCAGTATTATTATTTGCTATCTATGAACAGATCATGTAATCTTCACTATTTAACTTATGAGAAATGCTAGTGATATATTTTTTAAAACAATACATTTAAAGGACACAATAATAAAAATAATTTTTTAATAAAAAAATAAACATTTAAGGTTATTAATGCACTAGGTTTTTTGATATTTTGAAAATTTTAAAAAATTATTATATATACAAATTTTATTGTGTTTTTGAACATATTAAAAAAAATCATTTTTGAGATATTTTGTTATTATTATAGGTTAAATTATTATTGTTTACCCAGCGAATTGTGGTTTTATTAATAGAAACACACAAAACATTGATATAAAAACATTATTTCAATGCAAACAATAAATACATAATAAAAAATTAAATACACGTGCTTAATACTAAACATAAAGTCTTTCAATAGGAGTTAATACAATACTTCCAAATCGCTGCTAAATATTTTTGGAATAACGGAATATAATGTGATGCAATCATGAAGCTAGTATGTAGAAATAAACTGAACTGAAATGTTTTTCTTTTCTTTTATGTTTTACGAGATGGAAGAAAGTTAATTCTTGAATTCTCAATTGAAACATATAGTGATTATTAAGTACTAATTACTTGAGCAAGTTAAAGTATCTTTGGCATTTTGAACTCAGGTTGCACAACTAGATAAAAAAAGAAAAGGAATGAAACACAGGAAAATGAGACGTTAAACAATGAAGTCATTTCACTTCGTTTGCATATCTGAAACCCCCTAACATTAAAAAAAAAAATCGAAAAAAAAGAAAATAAATTGGTTCCTTCATTTTATAAAACTCTTCATAATCTTCCCTTCTTCAAGCAATGCTGGATATCTGAAGATTTTAACCCTAGCAATAAAGTGGAGAATACTATTTGTATATATAGAATCCAAACTTGCATTGGAAATAATACAAATAAGCAAAGAAGCTAATAATACAAAACTACTTTTTAAAACATTGATAAATCAATTAAATAAAACATCAAACGATACAAATGATATATCTGAAGATTGCAAGACTTCATACTTGCCAAAGCTTACAAATGATATGTTTTTACGCATACGTAAATTTAAAAATTTTTACATTCAATCTAAATTTTCCATGACTTTCATTTAACTTACGTTAAAGTAATAAAATATAATTTATCCTTGCGTCAGAATATACAACGGCCCTTAAGCCGTACTGGATTTGTACGTTTCTTATGTCAATAAAGTGAACATGAGCTATTTTTGACCAGTCTTCTCCTGTTTCTTTCTCACATCGCTTCTCTAACTCGGGGCAACGGTAAATTGCCAATGTTTTCAGACCGCTAAGGCACTGAATGCTCATTGGAAGACACCTCAACTTGGGACAGTTAGAAATTCTTAATTCCCGAAGCAAGGCAAGGTTTCCAAAGCAGTCTGGCAAGGATTGTAGGTTTAGAAGATCCCAGAGTCTTAATGATTGCAAGGCAGTCATATGTGGTAATGCCTCATCCAAACATTCCATCTCTTCGCATTTCCCAATATTCAAATCCTCAAGACATGTTAGGTATTTAAAACCTGCCGACATATTGAACTTGGAACATTCCAAAATTTCTAATTTCTTTAGAGAGCTCAACCCTTCCATCAATGATTCATCACCCAATGACTTGAGCCTGCTGCTACCCCTTATATACAGTTCTTGGATAGCCTTAAGGTTAATGATTCTAGTTGCAAGTATCTCAAGTTTGGAGAGCTTATAAAACTCTATTTTCTTTAGAGAAGTAAGGTTTTGTAGCATCCCATCTGGCAAGCATGTTAACTCCTCATTATAATTGAAACTTAGGGATTGAAGACTACTGAGCTTATGAATTGAACTTAGCACTTCCCTGCATTTACCTTTTATGCGGAGATCATTGATAGATGGAAGGCTGGGCAAATCCAACAACTCAGGACAATCAGTAATTTGAAATGTGGAAAGGCGCGGAAACATGTTTTCCCCATCCTCCCTTGCTAACCTTATTAAGTTTGGCATTTCCTCCAGTAACAGAAATTCTAGAGCCATGAAAACTGCTTCACCGTCGTAGGACTCTTCGTATAGGTGTATTATATGAATCATGTTACATACACTTAGCCTCTTTAGAGAAGGTAGTTTCCCCAGCTGCGGAAGTTGTAAACAATTATTGCAATCCACCAACTCTAGACGATTTAAATGTGTGAGAGAAGGACTAGACATCCATGGTGGAAAACGTGAACCTTTATATCCTCCCACAACCAAAGTCTCAAGTTGTTCGGTACGAGGTTGAAGCACTTCAAGAATCTGTTCAGCTTTTTCTTGTAATTCAGACTCTTCATTTATGTTCCATGATAACAGCAATGAATTTAGGTGCTTAGTCGACATATTGGCTTCTTGAGCATCCCCAACTCTTTTGACCCTCTCCAAGTGCTTGATGAGAAGCTCTCCTTTAAGGTTTAGTCGACCCAGTTCTGTCAAAAGGAATCCTCTTTTGTCGCCAATAATATACCTGCTTAACGTCCTTAGGGAAGTCATCATCCCCATATGACGTGCCAAGCTTGACAGTCTGTGGCAAAACCTCAAAGATAGATGTTGTAGAGCTCTTAAGCGTGCCAAATTAATCGGCAACCTTTGAAGATGATTGCAATAGTCTAATTTCAAAATTTCCAGATTCAACAGTTCACATAGGGATTCTGGAAGAGTTCGAAAATTACCATGAGAAATATTCAAGTATCTTAGATATTTTAATTGACCAATTTTAGGCTGCAAACTGTCTAGTCTCTCCCTCTCAAGCACCCGCAAAGAATAACATTTTAATATGTCAACTGGAAGCTCTTTATATTCATAGAAGTACTGCGGCACTGTATAGGTTTTCAAAGACTTGAATTGGTGCAACTGAATTGAATTGGCCTGTTCATATGACTTTTGCCTGTAAATTAAGAGATGTCGGATTCTTTCAGCCTGGGTAGTTATACCGTTGTCGTCATTAACGCAACATACCTCTTCCGAAAGAGATTGAGCAAGATCATGAACAAGATCATGCATCTTGAAACTTGTAACTCTGCCAAATTCATCTTTCTGAATATCTTGGAAAAAAGATCTCCAGTATAATTCATTCCATACTTCATCACCCACATCTTCAGCATCCAAGATTTCATTAGAGGAAATGAATCCATTAGCCATCCAAAGTTCTATTAGATGTTGCTTGCTTATTATTTCATCTTTGGGAAATATAGCACAGAAGGCAAAACATTGTCTCAATTTTACAGGCAAGTTCAAGTAACTTAATCGCAAGGCAGGTATGACCAAATTCTCATCATCTAAATTCCACAGCTTACTCTCCTTAACATAGAGCCATTCCTTTTCCTCTCTTTTAAAACGCAAAAGACTTCCTAATGCAATTGCTGCAAGAGGCACTCCCCCACATTTACTTACTATCTCCTTCCCTATCGCAACAAGCTCTGCCCTTTCTGCTGCATTTGGTTCAAAAGCTCGTTGTTTAAACAGTTCCCAACAGTCATTGTCAGATAGTTTTGATAGTTCATCAGGAGACGTTGTTCCCATAATTGATGCAACCGTTGAAAGACGGGTAGTGACCAAAATTGAAGTACCCTTTGCTCCACAATTCAATACAGATTTCATCCTATGCCAGTTCTCTTGATCATCATCCCACACATCGTCCAAAACAAGCAAATATCTTTTCCTTTGAAGCAGATCTCGAAGTCTTCTCTGCAACGGCTCTAGATCCAAATCCTCACAGGCTCGCCCAGATGCTGCTTCTATGATAGCTTTTGTCATTCTCTTCAAGCTGAAATCTTCAGAAACACACACCCAAATTCTCAGCTCAAAGTGGTTGACCACCCTCTCATGATTGAAAATGAGTTGAGCAAGTGTCGTTTTTCCAAGTCCACCAAGACCCACAATTGGATAGACCGATAAATCCTCAAAATGAGAAGTATGGACAACCAAAAAGTCTACAATTTTATCCTTATCTTCTTCTCTTCCAAAGACTCGAGGTTGAGAAATAATTGAGGTTGTTTGGCGCCAAGCAATGACTTCAGCTTTCCTCTCTCGAACCGTCTCAGTCAAATGAAACTTCGTCCTTTCTTCAGCAATTTCATCTAATCTCTCTCTTATTCTCTTCATTTTCTTAGCAATCTTGTAACGGGAAACAACATGCTTGGGGTGAAAAGAGGATAAGCAAGAGGTTTGTACCGTGTCTAATAGTCCGCACGAGACTCCATGATACTCCAACTCCAATGCTTCAGTGGCACACTCGTCCAAGATGTCATCCAGCACATAAGCTGCATCTTTTAGCTTTCGCAGCCAATCTTTGATAGCTCTGTTCGAGTATTGTTTCTCCTCAGCATCTTCAAGTGTAGCCTTGACTGTAGAGAGCGAGCTGGTAAGCCTTTCCAAGTCTTGATGGAAACCCATAAAGAGTCCCAGTTTTTTCTGAATGAGAGAGCTGATATTCTCAAGCACAATTTCAAGGACAGCCTCAGCCATCTTCAAAGTTCTAGTAGTATCAAGCAACAGAGGTTTCACGGTTACAAATGCAGTGTTAGTAGAATCGAGTAACGAGACTATTAGCAAGGAAAGCAGACGTTTTGAAATTTGCAAACTTTTCAAGTCAAAAAGTTGCCTAGTCATTATTGGGTACAGCTGCATGCAGGGACCCATACACGCTTTAAGAGCTGATATTATCTGAATGTTTATGAATCCTACAAATAATAAAAACATACATAGACTTTGAAATGGGAAGTCAACAATTAAGGTTTGCCAAAGTAAATTGATATTTCAATAGTTTAATACTAATAATCAGTTCCTTAATTTAAATCACATCATATATTCCAACTGTCCCATTAAGACAATCTTATAATTTTTAATTCAATATCAACCCATGTATTGCACAGATTGTAAGGGACATATTTTTTAAACATATATAAAGGTATATTTATATACTAATGTTTCATTAAAATGTTAAATAATAATACCATGTTTGGCATATAAAAATAAAAAAAAGAAATATACAAACTTGTATAGGAGTCACACAAATTAGGCTCTTAACAAAACTGCCAACAAGAAAAAAAAAGAAAAAGTAAGAGAGAGCTATTGTTATATTATTCCTTACTTATCCTATTTATTCTCGATAATTATTTTTGTGCTATTCCTTATTTAGCTTCTTTATTCTCAAAGTCTACAACACTTTGTCGTGGTGGTACCCCACAGTTCTCAATTTTGACACTTTTATTTTTGTTGTCAAGTCTTTCAATGCTCTGCAATAAAAAAAAATTTCACTGAACCATAATCAAGTTGGGCGAACAAAAAGTGGAACACTAAAATTAAAGCATGTTTATTTCTCTTTTTAAAAAGAATTAAAAAAAAAACTAAAAATAATTTGTATTTAATTTTCTTATTTTATTAACAATTCCCATTCAAATTCATTTATAACATTAAGAAAACATATTATTTGATTAAATATAAATAATAAAGAAATAAAATAAAAGAAATATAATGCCATGAAATTTATGCTTGTTTTAAGGATATACTTGTTTATTTAAGAAAAAAGTCATCTTTTTGTTGATCACTTTTTATCGAATAATAAAACAGGTACTGAGAGAATTTTTTTTTTTCTTTTCTGGTTCTCATTCACCGTTTTATCCATATTTTTTCATTTTATTTTCTCTCGTTCACATATCTTTCTCAAATCAAACAGAACGCAAACTAAATTTGTTTAATTTTAAAAATAAAAATGCAATTGACTATAGAAATATTGAAAACCTAAATTTATACATAATTTAAATTGAAAAATGAGTTACAATTAATAAAAACTTAAACAAGTGGCTAATACACACAGCCTTGGCACTTGGCAGTAAAAAAATTAAAAAAACCCTCGGCGGCAGTTAAAAATCACTCCGATCCATTCTTAAGATATTGTTTGTTTTTGGATTTATGTTTGATAAATCACAGATTTATATTTATTTTATTTTTTGGTAGAAATTTTTATTTATTTTAATATTATCAATTATAATATTGACCTAATATAATTTATTATCCCCTTTTCATGATGTAAGGGTCCATTTGTGACATGGTGTGACCAACTAGAAATGTTGGCTCACGAAGCCATTGGTTGCTTTGTGACACACTGTGGTTGGAATTTGACCCTTGAAAGCCTTAGCCTTGGTGTTCCTGTGGTGTGTTTGCCACAACGGAATGACCAATTACCTGATGCCAAGTTTTTGGAGGAAGTTTGGGAGGTGGGTGTGAGGCCGAAGGAGGATGAGAAAGGAGTTGTGAGGAAGCAAGAGTTTGTCAAGGGTTTGAAGGTTGTGATGGAGGGTGAAAGAAGCCATCAGATTAGAAGGAATGCCACTAAATGGAAGAAGTTGGCAAGGGAGGCAGTTGATGAAGGAGGTAGTTCTGATGATATTATCACTGACTTTGTGAATCGTTTGATGAATGCAGATCAGAATGGAAAGTTGAGCAGCTCCTAGAGTGTCTCATCTTATGTTAGTTAATGCATGCACATCTTCAAGCCTCATTTGGCTTCATTTTTTAATCGTTTATGAAAGTTTATGTTAATGTTTGATTGTGACATCTTTTGTTAGTGTGTGTGTCAACCTTGGTCGTCAATAATACCTTTCTTTCTAATTTATACATTCACGTTTGTTTCAAATCCTTTATTTGAAAAATGTATCAGTTCATACATACTGAAATAAATATGTATCAGGCTTGGTAGTTCATAAAACCTGCAGCAACCCACTTCATGAAAATGAATAGCATTGTCATCACAAAGAAAAATGATCTTAAAATCGTTGTGCCCAAATCTTCATCAGCTATATATACGAAAAGAACCAATTATTAGCTCCAAGAGTGGTGAAGGGAAACAAAATTCCATTTTCTATTTACGGTCTTTCTATTTCTTAAATAAAATATTACAATAATTAATGCAGTAATAAATAACTAAATTATTAAATGGCAATTTAAAAAGCCATGAAAATTAAAAATAAAATTGAATCTGGTAGTAATTATTCTATACTATACCCAGTCTAACACAACTTCACAGAGGTTGCTTACGTGTCCTCCATCTAGCGCAACACGTGGAGCTTGTACCAAAAGGTGACACATATGGATTGCCCCCAAGCATACCTCACTCATCAGAAACCGCGGCAAAATGGCGCCAAAGGCAAAACCAACGAAGAAACCTGCGTCTGATCCTCATGGAATGTTCGCTGGAATGGTTGTGTTATTGATTCCCAAAGGGATTCAAGCTAGGAGAATCCAGGTACAACCTTCAACCTCAAACGCCAATCATTGTATGTAACTGCAGTTATTGTTTTTAAAATTTGTATACATTCCCGCTGTGTCAGATTTGGAAGGAGAGGTTGGTACAAATGGGGGCTGCAACAGAGGAGCGTCTATCCAAAAGGGTCACTCATGTTCTTGCCGTGGACTCAAATGCCCTTCTTCAGGAGTTGGACAGGGAGCGTTTGTCACGTTTTCAAGGGGTTAGGTTTTTTTTTTCGTTTTAATTTTATAATTTATGAGTGGTTGACTTTACTATTGTTTCAATGGGAATGAAAAGATAAGTAAACACTTTTGGCCCTCCCAATTTATACTTGGCCTCCATTTATCAGCAATATTGATTGGTACTTGAATATTGCTGCGTTTTTTAGAACCTTGTATACATTTAGAGGACTAATAAGATGTATATTTATTAATGTGGTCAATGTGATGTGATGTAATGTCGTGTATATCTTTCAATGATCGAAGGAGATATCTACTTATGGAATTTGAAGGGTTTTAATCATGTTCTGAGCTGCTGCTTTTAAGAATTGTTATGTTGTGCTTTGACTTTTGTAGACTGAAATTGAAATTGGTACTTGATTATTTTGTTTGATTCGGGTTTCTGCTTTTGTGTTCAGAATGTGCTTTTACACGACTTTTATTTGTTTGTTTATTTATTTTTTGAATTAACGATGCTTTGTGCAGAGAATTCTCCTTTATCAATGGCTGGAGAACTGTTTGAAATCAGGGGAGAAACTATCTGAGGATATGTATGTAATTAACTTGGATCTTCAAGGTGAACATATACCGGAGAAGTGTTTGGACTCTGAACCAACTGATCCAAATCGAAGCACCTCTAGCGATCCTCAGCAATTACATAATAAAAAGGTCAAATTATCTTCTGAGGATATGAAAATTGGAAATCTTGAAAGTGATGATGATAGAAGAGAAAATGCACTACTTTCATCAACAAGCACGACAAGCAGTCATGGTGAAGTTGACAGTTTAAGTTATGGAAACTCAAAATCTCAACACCTTGGTGCTGAAAATGAGGCAGTAAGTACTAAGATCTGTATGCCAGCTATTGAGGATTATTTGGGTAAAATGTTTTCCTTCCAGAACTAGATCTTCCTCTAACACCACTGAAAAGAATAAGCTTCTGACAGAAACAAAATTAATGTGCCATATAATTTTGTATAGATAGATTGGAGAATAATTATGCAAATGGCTATGGAGCATGTACAATTATGAATTATAGTTTATGTATTGTTTAAGCATATACTGAGTTTTATGCCTTCTTTTTGAAAGTTGAAACTCATTTAACACGGAGTGCACATTGCAGTCATCATTGACATATTCTCCACCTGATCTAAACAAGAACATAACAGAGATATTTGGGAAACTTGTGAACATATATAGGGGTAAGGCGCTTATAACTCCTAGTCTCACACTTTGTAGTGTTTATTGTGGAGCTCTTGTTTATTGTGCTAGTGCTGTTTGAAAGCATTGGGTGATGATCGGAGGTCCTTTAGCTATTACAAGGCTATCGCAGTGATTGAGAAGTTGCCATTTAAAATTGAAAGTGCTGACGAGATAAAAAACCTGCCGTCTATTGGTAAATCAATGAAAGATCATGTAAGTGTATGTGGCCAGACATTCTGTCTTGAGCTTCTATCCTGCACCACGCGTCATGTTGTTTTTATCTATTGGTACTTTTAATGACTATATATATATCTTTAGTTTCTGATTATTAGTTGCGAATAGCTTTATTGTTCTTCTGCCCTATTAGATTTTTCTCTTCTAAAATTTCAACTGTCTTTAGTGGAATGATATCATTTAACTGTCTTCTATGATATCCTTCTAGCCTAGTTATTGTTTATTACTGTAGGAATAAAGGTGTTTGTGTTGCCTAGTGTATACTGGGGATCCATCTAAGAAAGCAATTGAGTTTCAGTGTGTTAATACCTGTGAACAATGATTCTTTCAGAAAGTTTGTTATTGGAAAATCAATCGATGATTGTTATTACAACAGAGATGTTTGGTTCTAATATTTAAGTATGTTGCTTATTTACATTTTTTTTGGCTTTTGAAATTTGATTTCATTCAATCTAAAGGCAATGAGTCTCCATTAATGGCACAGCAATATGAATTTGGACCTCAAAAAGACATTTTCCCTTTCTTATGTATTGATTTAGCATTTTCTTTTACTTTCTGGTCAGATAATAAAACAAGCAATTATTTTTACTACTTGCAGATTCAGGAGATAATAACTACTGGGAAGTTATCCAAATTGGAACACTTTGAAACTGATGACAAGGTATTATAAGCATTAACTCTGGTCACTTTGAGATCCATGAAAATATTTGTGAAAAGTTTATTTCTTAGCTTTAATAATTCATATTTTTTTTAATCCATGATCCTTGTGTGATCACATATTTGAATATTTGCATTATCTTGAATTATATGCGCATGCGCAAAAGCACATGTGTAATACGATGTTTGATAACTATCATAACTTACTGTCCTAGTATTGGAGCTTATAACTATATTTTGGTGTAATTTTTGAGTGTGATGCTCGAACTCAATTCTTTTTCAGCTAATCTGTATTCTATTATTTGCATCAATAGTGAATGGTCGGTCTACTATATGTAAAAAATTATTTATGAACTTTGTAATAGTTATATTTTAGTGCTTGGTTTTTGAAGGTGTGATGGGAAATGCAAAGTATTCCTTAAGCTATTAACACCCAGTATATTTATTACATTTTGTTACAATTTTTCAGCCTTCTCTTTTTCTCCTGCTTATATGACTATAGGTGCGAACAATATCCTTATTTGGAGAAGTATGGGGTATAGGTCCTTCCACAGCACTGAAATTGTATGAGAAAGGACATCGTACATTAGATGATCTGAGGAATGATGATTCACTTACAAATGCACAGAAGTTTGGGTTGAAATACTTTGATGATATCAAGCAAAGGATTCCACGTCATGAGGTCTGTGATACTGTTCTTAAAGTGACACTATCCCTCAACCCCACTGCCTAAGAAAAAAGGTCATTTCCTTTTACCCAAAAACATTGATGCCCTTTATGATTTGATAGGTTCAAGAGATGGAACACATTTTACAGAAGGTTGGGGAGGATGTTTTACCTGGGGTGAGATTGATATGAGCTTTTTATCCTGTCATGAATGTTTGAAAGGAATCTGTCAGATGAAATCTCTCTCTTTATGTCTGTCTGTGTACTGCTCAGGGTGAAGGGAAGCATCCATTATTTATCCAAGTGTTATGCTGTGTGCTTTGAAACAAAATGGGCTGCTTTCTCAGATTATCAATGGTTATGTGGTGTTCAGTGCTGCTTTAGTCTCTCATCTCTCATTTTAGGATGTGGGGATGGCTTTGATTTCTAGTTGTTGATCTTGGTGCTCAAAGTTACCAAGGACATGGATATGTGGAAATGTTGGATGATACAAGCTTTATTTAGAAAGCTACAACTTCTGTCATCTATGTTGTTATAATCATATTTTGCAAAACTGTTGCCATTCACATCATGTAACTTAGGGATGCCATGTTTCTCAAACCCTTTTCCTCGTGTGTTTCAATTCATGATCTACCTTAGAGATGGTCGTTGATTCTTAATATTACAAGCATACTCAGCATATATATATATATATATATATATATAATATTTTATTTTTAATTTTCTTTTTTTGTTGCTTCCTCAGTTTGAATTGCAGCATGACATTGAAAACCTGATACAGGTTTTGATTATTTGTGGGGGATCATATAGACGTGGCAAAGCTACCTGTGGGGACATTGATATCATTATAACTCACCCTGATGGAAAAAGGTACTGCTTGATTTCTTATGACCTTTATTCAACAGTGGAGTACAGACAATTTGCATATAAATGAAGGTGTTTCCATATTCTAACTGAAAGTAAGTTTTTCAAATAACAATTTTATGCCTTTTTTATGCTATTAAAATCAAATTTCCTTTTGTACATGGTTTCTATTTAAGTTTTAAATTGTAATAGTATGTAAAATAGTAATTTCTATTGGTCTCTTGTATCAAACTTTTTCCTTGACAAAACAAAATTAAAATGTTCATTTAGAGCCATGATTTAACTTTGAATACAGTTTTTGCTTTCATCAATTGAACGGTTATGTGTGTTCTGAACTGTTAAAATAAGTTACTTAAGTCATAGTTTTTAGATTCCTTGATTTATGTAAAGATTAAATGGCTAAGACAGTAACTTCACTCTCGCTGTTAGGAGAATGTGATTGACTTACATTCTGCATTTATCTTTCATCTTTTGCTTGTGGAAACTTCTCTTTTCATTTTTAGAGGCTCAAAAGTTTGTTTCATGGCTTGGCTTGCAGTCACAAAGGATTTTTGCCAATGTTTGTAAAGCATTTAAAGGATATGAATTTCCTTAGGGAGGATCTAATTTTCAGTACTCACAGTGAAGAGGTAATTTTACCATTTTTCTCTTGTCTTCAAACGGTATTTTTTGTTTTGCTGATTGAGCTTTCCTGCAAAACATAAATAATATTTTTTTTCCTGGAGAGCATTATTTCATGTATTTGTTAATATTATCACGAATCAGAGTTTGAATGTGTACTTGTGTTTGAAGATGCAAAGCATATAATAGTTTGTTCAGTTTTAAATAGCAGTTTAAGCTCACCACATTGGTGGATTTGTTTGCAGACACTTACTGTTATATAATTCATATGGTTGAAATTTTAGTTTATAATTGTTTGAATGGTTGAATAAGTTGTCTATGACATGATACCTTGAAGTGGTGTGTTAGAAACTGGATCAAAACACCTTGAACTGGGATAAATTCATTGTATTATTAATTAATTGTGGCACCAATAGATGGCAGTACCAGAACAGCAGAATAATAGAAAAATGAAGGGTAACACAGGTTGATTGAGAGACCCTGGACTCTCCCTTACTGACTTTTACCTTTTCTTCCTTCCCAATTTTCTTCTTCCTAACTCCTTTCCTATAGCTATCCAGGTCAACTTGCAGCCATAAATTTCTATTCCTTACCTATCACTCAATTATTTCCTTGTATAAATGGTCAATCCCCCTTGATTTCTGTACATGCAATATGTTATTTTAATCATTCAATCCCCCCGTCATTTCCTAATGACCTTATTGATTCGTTGTCTTCACATAGAGCATGTATTTTTAAATGACCAGCTTTTTAGTGAATATGGGGAAGGTAGGACATTATGTTTTCTGACTTTTGTTATTAAGATTATTTGGAACTTGGATTGGAATTTACAGCAATATTTTAACATATTAAAAATTGCAAATCTTATAATCATGAACTTTGTGATTTTTTCTTTTATTTTTATTTTATACCATGAGTGAGTAACATAAACCTAACGATCATCCTATTCAATAAGGAGCTGAGCTCATATCTACCTGCCAGATGTTTGTTCTATATATATATATAGTTTTTTTTTTTTTTGGTGTTAATTTTTCTATGTCAGGACAGGGAACTGATTCTGGTGTTGACACTTACTTCGGTTTTTGTTCCTATCCTGGACGGGAGTTGCGGCATCGTATTGATTTAAAGGTGACAAATCTCATAGAATATTTTATGAAGGCTTATGGGAGTTTGAAAATTTGTTTTCCCCCCTTCCCCCCTTCTCCATTTAGTTTTGCATATAATTTTAAATGGTTGTATTACCATGTGTTTTATGTATAATACTACTGGGATTATTCATTATTCATCATTTAGCAGTTAGCGCTTAATCATGGGATACTGTGTTAAAAATGTGAATTCCATCGAGGTGCTGGTTGTATTTTGTTGCTTAGCTAACTTCTAACATCCACAGCTTATTAGTTGTAGACTTCTCTGAAGAGCACACGATTGATTTTAATGTTTTGGCAGGTCTACCCAAGAGACATTTATGCTTTTGGACTTGTAGCTTGGACTGGAAATGATGTATTGAATAGGAGGTATGCATGCTTCTCTATTCACTGAACTTTCCATTTCTAAAGTTTTGGCAAATTGACTTTCATCAAAGAAGTTCAATTAGTATCTCTGGGAATTTTCTTTTTATAGTGTATGAGATTAATTTACTTTCTGATGTACCATTATTGAATGCTTGCAGAAGTTAAAATAAATATGGAATAATTTATTAATATTAATAAAAGAGAATGGAGATAGAAATGTGCAAAGCAAGATATCCCAAATGACACGCATGCTTCATTTAGGTATAATTTCTTTAAAAAATGCGGAATGGTACCCATTCTCTAAATTGGCTATCAAGAGTAAGAGATGGCATCTTTATTTATGTCGGGATTGTTATGGTGAAAACAGGAATATCTTTTCAAAACCATCCCAGTCTTGTATCGTATCTTTTTATCGTGTAAACAATGGGTTCTTCCATCCATAACCATATATTATCATTTGGTTGGGGGCATGGTCAATGTCTTAAATCATTTCTGGATCATCCATTTTTCAAAGGGACTAGTTATGGTGCCGTCTCATTTTTCTTTATATGGTGCTTGAGTGCAGGTTGAGACTGCAAGCAGAATCTAAAGGATTCCGGCTTGATGATACAGGATTGTTTCCAGTTACTCAAGGATCTGGTGGCAAGCGGGTGTGGCTTTTCTCTTTTGAAGTTCTATTGATAGTGTCCTCTTTGCTTGAATTCTCACGTATACTTATGCTGCAGGGTGCAAAAGGTAGTGCAAGTTTGAAATTCTATACTGAAAAGGAGATATTTGATTTCCTCGATTTTCCTTGGCATGAACCACATGAAAGAAATCTCTAAAACTGTGGAGACAGTTTATGTTAAGTGGTCTCCTCCTGCTTGATTTTTATGACTTCAGCATTTCACCTTGTAGAATAGGATGGATGTATCTGGCAAAAGGCGTTTCGTTTCTGGTCTTGAAAGGTTTTTGTGTAAATTTGTATATATGTAGGATGCAGGATACGAGTCAACATATCTCGGGTCGAGTTTAGTAATATATATTTAGTGTGTACAAAAATACCTCAATGGAGTTTGTTTAAAATATATAAGAAGTTCACACATTTTATTAGGTAACGCTTTATCTGTATGTTTTTGTGACAATAGTTGTGCCGGGCACACTACATAACGTAATTACCTTTTTCTGTCTTTGTTTATTTTCATTATTGGATTGGACGTGAAGTGTCCCTGTGGGACTCTTGCTGTCTTGGATGTTGTCGTCCATCAAGTGTAGATAGGGTCTCTGAAACTCCGGTGACAAATATTTGGTTTTGGTTTTAATGAGTAGTGGGTGTTAGTGTGAGCATTTGCGAACTTTACATAGTTTGGTGTTGGAAACAAATTTTGTGACGTACAGAAATGCATGTTTCAACTAACCTCGGATTTCTACCCATTGTTGGCTTGTTTAAGATTTCCATTGTTAGCTACCTTCATTTGGTAGCTTGTTTGCACTGTTGGACTAAACTTGCACAATGCTAAATGTTCCCAAAGTCGCGATAGCATGCCATTGCACCTTCTTAATAATTGGGTCGCCCACAGTGGAATTTTTTTTCTTTGAAAAAATGAGCTCGGTCCCTTAATTTTAATGATTCGGTTGTGCTCTTTTTCTAGGTTCAGTAACAGATTGGGTATTTATTTTCTTTTATATTAATCACTGTTTGAGTTTGTAGAATTATTTTTTTGAATCCAGTGATAAATATAGCCATTGACTGTCTTGATTCTTGGATTAGAGTTTTAAAGTCTGTTAGCTTCTCAATAAATTTCTGTCCATTTCGAATTATCTTTTATGAACTGAACAAAACTCCCCCGAGTTCTGGTCATATAGCATTATCATCTATGGAAACGATCTGAGTTGCACACTACGCTATTAAACTTGCAATTCGGTTTACAATTGATCGATCGAGTTCGGCTCTCGAGTCAACTGCTGTTGGGTTTTTCTTCACAACTTTCACAGCCTTAATATGTGGAATGCTGTTCTAGGATTTTGGAGGAAAATAGCAAGTCAAACTAGGAAAATAGTATGTTAAAATATATTTAACCGAGAATTTTAAGAAAGAAGTTCCGTAAAACATACATTTAAAACTTTCTTAGTTTTGGTTTGAAGGAAACTCGTAAAAAGAGAAAATTTACTCCAAAAATAAAATATAAGAGGAATTTTTAATCTACAGTCCGTTTTTATTTCGGTTTAAAGTTTATATTTTCATGTTTAACAATTTTTTAAAGAATTATAATATTTTATAATTATCAATAAAAGCATCACTTACAAAAATAAAATTAAAAAAAAAACATTAAATTGATTTCTCTTGATGTTAGCATTACATACACTTGCATTATTTTGTATTAAAAATATTACACCCACTTCTTTTGTAATTGATCTATAAATATAATTAATTCACTGACTTAAAGGAACTCCAGTTGTTATTATCCTAAATTGGGAACACAACTAAATAGGTCTCTTCCTCAGTTATTTTTAACTCACGCGAGTTAGAAATAATCTATATATTTTAAAAATTTATTTAACTTTTCAAAAAAAGAATGCATAAATTAATTTTAATTTATAAAAAAATTATTTTTTATAATATATATTCGCTTAAAACATTACCTAAATTAGGCAAAATTATTTCTAATTCACTTAATGCAAACATTATTAAGATATTAGGTTTATTAAAAAAATACATTAAGCTTTTGGTATAAAAGAGGAAAATTAAGAAAATAATAATTTATTTAATGATCCGAAAAAGAATGAAGAATGCCAATCAATCACGGTCATTCCACGAATACAAACGAAATCCTATATACGTATCCGTATACTCGTACGTGTCACTCCTCTGTACAAAACTACCTAACAATAACAAAATACAAAAAATCACACGTGGAACACAAACACCAGAAAGAGAGAGAAGAGGAAGCCGCACGTGGATGCTACGTGGCGAGCACCGTCACTGGAGTCCCTCTCGCGCGAAAAGGTAGAAGGAGAACCAGTGAAGTTAGGATTAGAACCATAGAGTTGCTGAATCCCTTCAATATCATCATTAGCGAGTTCCACCTTCCTTGTTCGCGACGCAATCGAAGGGTACATAATAGCTTCTTCCACCGACGAGTGACCCAGTCCAAGCAAGTGCCCAATCTCGTGCACCGCCACCGATTCAAGATCCACCGCGTTCGACAGCGCCGCCTCCGTCACATCGCCGGTAACCACCCAGTCCTCCGCCTTGTCCAGGTGGAACCTCCCGTCCGTCGGCGAAAACGCGTGCGCTAATGTCCCCAACACGCCATCGAACGGTTCCCCATCCCCGTGGTCCCCACTGTAAAATCCTATTTTAATATCCGCCTCTTCATACGACGTCGTTTCACGGAACGAGATTGTCGTAACCTCTGACCATCTATCAAACGCGGTTGCAAACACGCCCTTTGCGACGTCGTCGAGGCCGTTGTCAGGGTCAAACGCGTAGGTCAACTCCTGTGTCCCCTCCGGCCACCGCTGCTGATCCGGGAAGAACGAGTAGTGTGACACTGTGTGGAGCTTCGCCGTCGCGTTAGTGTTGGACTTGCCGGAGTTCATGGCGGTTGTGCCGTTGATGATGTCGGCGACCCCGCACCGGGGACGCATGATTTGCTTCAGCGTGACGTCGTCGAGCTCGCCGGTGACATTGAGGTTGAAGTTCTTCTGGTAGGCTCGGACGGCGGTCTCCAGCGCGTCGTCGAAGTCATCGGTGAAGTTCGACGGCGGCGCGTTGGGGATGTATCCAAAGTAATGAAAGTAGTTTTTGAGATTGGAAAGGCCGTTGTAGGCGCGTCCGGGGCGGCATCCGGTGAAGTTGCTATACGCTTCCCATGCAGCCGGTGGCGCTTGGTTTGATATCCACGTGGGGATGGAGGATACATTGGGGAATAAACGAGCTGAAACTGAAGGCAACGTTACGGTACCGAATATTAATAGCACTGTGAGAGCGAAGAGGGGATAACGGTGTTGGCGAGTAGTCATGTTTTACAGAGTGTGATTACGAAGAAGGATTAAGAAGCAGGTGACACATATTTGCATATATATTTATATGAAGTGAACTATGAAGTCTTCGTCCACCTAAGTTATCATACATATCTTTATGCGTTGAAAAGTTGTGTGATGGTAATCACCTGGAAGAAGCCACCATTGGAAACGACGACGTTGGCTTCGTGATCTTCGTTTAGAACAATGTATTCCATTTTTAGTTTAATCCTTTGTCTGTGGAATGTCTATATTGAATGACGAAAATATGGAGACGGCGTTGTTTGACTTTGACACATTCCCTCCAACTATGAGGTTTCCTTTGGACTTTCCATGCCTACCAAGTTACCAACCAATGCGAAATAACTCAAAAACAAGCATTATTTTATATTTTCCAATTTCAAACAACAGGAATTAAAAAATAGCCCAAATTCATTATTTTTATTATTCTTAAAGTAAGGGTAGATAGTACTCTCTAAATAAAAGAAAGAGAGAATAATTTAGTCCATCGGTCTTTTTTTTATATATAAAAATCATTTTTTTATTTTATTCCAAAAGTTAAGCAATTATTTTTTTCCTTAAATTTTAAAACAAGTCAATTTATACACGTATTTATTATATTTTATTTATTAAAAAAAGTTAAACCGGTTGTTATTTAATTCAATGACGGCCTATTGTTAGTTTATCAATTTCAACTTTTGTTTCAGTCTCTAGAAGATTTAGGTGAACACTCTTCTTCTCATAATTTTCAAATTTTGGTTATATCTCACGGTCTTTTCTCTTTTAATTTTTAATATACAATTAGATTTCTCAAGAAGATAAAGGGAAGTATATTGACTTACGTAATACTATCTCACAATGAGCTAAAAAAATATTATGTGATAACCCACGTATGTGTGTGTATATAGTGAAAATATAATTAAAAAAAATCATTGTTTTAAATTAGACACTCGTGTTATATTGAAAATTAATTAATAATATTCATAAAAATTACGAAAGAAAAATGAAAGTACCGTTATGGACATACATTATAAAAATATAAGCAAAACATCATACACATTTCAGTTATTTTACAAATAAAACAGTTATTTTAATGAAATCATAAAATAATTAATTTTGAACACTATAATAATAAAATTTGACCTTCAATGTTTTTCTCCTAAGAATTAAGAAATAAGCACATATTAAAAAATAAAACATTAATCTTGAAATTAGAAATTGTGATTCCAATCATCTGTTGAAAGAGCTGTTACTGCTGGACCATTGGGATTTGTTAATGAGGACTCATTCACAGCCGTTTTGGCTATATGCATCATGTCCATTAGCAAAACCAGGATGTTCGAAATGTGCATTTTGGTTGTGCCAAATGGTCAAACTAGCAACTCGAAAACTTCATATCTACCAAATTATTCATAATTTTTTTTAATAAGGATTATTAAATACTTATTTAAATTTATTTATTTAGCAAAACATATAGGTTTAAACTTGAAATTAAATTTGGTTGTTAAAATGAGTCCAACGCAAAGTTTATAATTTTATTTATTATATTTATTTAAAAATATAATTTAAATAACTATCAAATTATATATAAAACATTTATCAAGTTTTAAAATATATTAGATTTATATATTTTTTTGGTACAAAAGAAAGGAAAAGTGACAAGAATCAAACTAGTTAAGAGAATTTATCTAAAATAACTAACTCTTGCATCCAAGGGGGTATCAATCAATCCAGACTTTGAATTGCTTGTCAAGTAGAAACTCATGCGCTAGTTTATCTACCATTAGAGTACGAATATGATGTATCAGGTTCAGATATATCAATGGATAAGTTTTATTTGACAGAACTGTGTCCACAGCTTACTGCAATCTGTCTCCACCACAATTCACCTGTAAGAATTTTTAATAGCTATAGTCAATCTCCATTTCTTGCATATAACTCTAGTGATTCAACGTTTATTGCCTTTATTTCCTGAGTGTTAGCTACTACATAATTAGAAACATGTCCATGATAGATAAGCATCTTCAAGTTTAGTAAGAATTATATAAAAAAAGATTCATTAATAATTTAAGTTATAAAAAACATATATCTTCCAAGATTCAACAAATTAAACCTATTTTAAAGCCCCAAAATGCTTCAAATTGACAAAAATTAACAAATATTTCATTGCTCAATTTGGGAGGAGCTTTAATGTATTTCAACTCGCTAGTTTAGTGCCTAGTGTATATCATCTATATCTTATTAAAAAATGGCTTTAGTGCGGCTAAATTTGATAATTAGTTCACTATTAATTACAATGCAATTACAATTTAACAATTGTTCAATAATTTAATTATATTTTGCCACAATATTCTTTAACTTTATTAATTACAATATATTATATTGAAATGTGAGTTATAACACTTACTGGTCAGCAATTTATTTTTGCTAAGCTAACAACTTGGCTGGGTTATCATTCATTAGTTGATTCAACTAATATTTTTTGAAAATCACCCATCGAAAGCAAAGTAATGTGCTGTTGATGGACCTAAAGTGGCCAATATATTTGTGTTATACAAAATAAATAAAATATATGATAATGTATTTGTTTTACACAAATTAAATATTTTTCATGAAAAACTAATAATATCTAAATCTAAAAAATAAATATGCATACGATGTGTTAATTTAAACCTTACATATATATATATATATATATATATATATTAATATCTAAGTTAAATAAGTAAATATTTATACTAAATAATAATAATAATATTTCAAAATATATTAATATAGTCATTATAGAAATAACATTCAAATGATAAAAAAATTATTTAATATAATAATTTATAATAAAATAATAAAATACGAAAAATACTTAAGCCGTGTAAAGAATAAAAATACTAGTTAAATTTAAATGTATTTATACACTTTAAAAAAAAAATAAAACAAGAGAAATACACATTCCAAATTTTTTTTCCCCTTAAAGCAAGTTAGCTTAAAAAGAGTGTGAAAAAAATTTGGCATATTTTCCTAACTACTTTATAAAGTATTAAATAAAAGTATCACACATTTATTATCTTGAAAATTTTTAAAATATTTATTAGTTTCTTCCTTTAATAATTAATAGAATTTGCAAGCATAAAAAAGAAATAATACGTGAAAAAATTATGTGCAATAATCATTAAGAGGGCTTGCACTGCAGTTTCGTGAGTCAAGCAGGTTTGCTAGTCATAGCAAGGCTAGAACATGATTTACCGTAACGATGAAGAGTACAAAGGAATCTTCAACTCCAATATCCAACAAGGTACAAAGCCATAATGTTTATAATGTTCTTCACTGACATGTTTCCAGACACATTGAGATAGTATAATATATAGAGTTCATCACGAAGCATAGGTAATTATCCTCCTACTAACGATATACGTGTATAATATCACACCATACCCACCAATACAAATTCTTGTATACAATGTCCCCTAGTCAATTTAAAATGGGAAAGGTGAAGTTCCATGCTGCAATGTGTCCCATGTTTTATAGACAATTCCACAATAGCGAACTATTAGGAGCCTCAAGGTAAGGATGGAAATGACAGAGAAGAGACAGAACTAACATTTCATGGGCCTAACATAAGTTGGAGGAAGGGAAGGACATTGCTCGTTCATATTGGCATACGGATCCAAAGTGTTATAACCAGGCAATTCCATCCTATATTCACCAAGAATTTGGCAGAATGGAAGCCGGTCATTCTCATTGTTGCACCATCTTGGTAGACGAGTTTGATTATCCTCAAAAATCCTAAGCATGTATGCATCGCGAATCTACAAATAGCAACACAATCATAGGTAAAAGCAATTATAACAACCAAAGGTTCATCCAATCAGTAAGGAAGCTTGGCTTACTGTGAATTCAGTTACTTGAATGGAGCTAGAAATGGGACCCAAAATTCCAGCCGCTTTATACATTGAAAGAATGAAGGCAACACATGTTGTTGATTTCCCATCACTGTATACCCATTCATCTTGTTCTGGAATGGTAAGTAATTGATCAAAAGCTATCCCACGCTTCTCAGTCTCAACTAGAATGTCATGCAAATCCAAACCCTGAAAGCACAAACAAATGAGATCCCATTAAAAATAAAGTAATCAACAGTGTATGGTACACCAAAATCTGCCCAACAAATACAACGGAATTTGGAATGAGGACATACTAAAACAATGTAGAAATTTGTAGAAAGTCTAGGATATTATATAGAAAAAAGTAGAAAAAAGTTCACATTTGACAAAACCACTACCATAATGAAACAAAATCAAGCTTTTCATGGTGTCCTCACATCAACTTTGCATTATAAAATGGAATTTCTTTATTGAATCTTTCGTAGTTTGTCTAGCTGTCAATACTAGGAAAAAAAATACAGAACAGCACCAGAAACATTTTGAGGTCATTGGAAGCCTAAATCTCAGAGTGAGACGTCCACTTCTTGTTTTGAATGAGAATTACTCCACCACATAAAGTACAAGAAATCAAAGGACAATATATTTGTAAACCAACATCAACACATACCTCAGTCCCTAATCGCTTATTCAAAGCTTCATTCCACATGTTTGCAGCATAAGCTGGCTGCATTCTTGTCCACATAGACATGACAGAAATTACCTGCAAAAAACATGTCATTCAGAAGCAAACTTCCATTGCTCTTGGAACCAGAACCTACAATTTTAATAGGGAAAACTGTAAAGTGGATGTTTCCTTTGTATTTGAGCACAAAGGGGCAGAGGGAGGGTAGAAATTAGTTGCTTCATGCACTACCAGGTTCAGTATTGCAGAACTGTAGGAAAGAACACGCAAACCTTTCCTTGTGACAGAAAGAGGGAAAAAATATATATCATCAACAAGGCAGCAACAATAGCATCACCTAACCCTTTCTGTCTAAATATTCCTTCCATACTATGGCCATCTTTCCGTTCTGTGTATCTAAACAATAAGTTGCCTCTTAAAGCCCTAAGTACTAAATATTTCTTCCCCAGACTGTAAACCCTGTCAAGATTTAAATTTGCTTCTTGGCAATCAGTTGGCACTTACCCCCTTAATAAAATAATGCAGTAGCCTCCTCGTAATACAGCATATTCTAAATACAAATGTTGCTTCAACTGCATAATTAAGTTAATCTTATACAAATAAGACAAACATTTATACCAAGTGAGCATCAAGAGGTGGAGGATAGTTGTCAGCTACAGTATCAATCCAACTGAATATCATATTATGATAACCATATGGCTTGCCAGACATGCTCCGCGCATACTCCCATGCCGCTGTGGAGTTGAATTTTGCACGTAATGCTGGATGCAGGGGAAGCAAGGCTATCTGTGGGTTGGAATTATCTTTAAGAGCTAATGTCCACCATTCATGCCATGGAATTACCACTATTATTTCTTCACCCTGCACAAAGACACACCATCAAGAAAACATAACCCTGTTTTATGTTAATATGATCAATAAAAACACAATAAAGAGGTCTGGTCACCACCCTTGGCAACTAAGAAGCAATTACAAAATTCATTATTCACTAGGCACAAACCGATGATGATATGAAGTTATGAAAACATTTTTAAAAAACCAAATTTGATAAGAGGTCAATAAAATGTCTAAATATATGTTTGTGTGTATGTTGTGTTGGTACACAAACACACTAAAATCTTCCCACATTTTATACCTTTTCATTCTCATGCCCAGATTCACCAACCCATAAATTGCCCATCTCATCCTTCAAGCAAACTGCTGTATGACCAGCAAATGCCCCCGTCACCCACTTCTCTAGTGTCTCAAAACCTCCCCACCTACCACGGATCTTTGACACAGCTAAAAAATCTCCAGAATGAACATCTGCAGGATCAATAGTTGCTTGCCAAGGTTGACTGCGTTTCTCAAATGTAGCTCCCATGTGTTTGTTTAGGAAATCTAAGTTGGCCTTCTGACCCCATGCAGTGTTAGAGAAAAGAGGCAAAACATCAATTAGAGAAAGCAGCGTCCCCAGCATCCCTGATGGCATGAGAAACACAGAAACCCCGTGCTGCTTTACCTGTATAATTAAACAAGAACATTATCTTTCTGTAGTTGGGATTCAACAATAAAAAATGATTACAAAAAAGAAAAGAACAATACATATTCCAACTCTGCAGGCTCTTCCCATGAATCGAAATTCAAAGTATGTTCTCGTGCAGCAAAGTAGTAGTCCCATGTAATCCTATACGGCGTTGCAAAAACATACAGATCCATGCAGGTCCAGCTGTGTGCAGCCGCTGTCTGTAAAGGGCCAACATTATAAAATGAAATTTACAATGGATGTTATAAAGCAGATGAAGAAGGGGGAAAAAAAGCCAAATACTTAAATCCGTCATTAATCAATCCATCCAACAGTCACATCCAACACCTGATATTACCAACCTTTAAAATATGAATTAAACTCCGAAAGAGTACTAAGAAAAAAAGTTTGCACCAAATTTACAGTTACACAAAAGTAATAATACAGGTACCAGCAGTTACACTAACAATAATTCATCACAATGACAAACACAAAGCAATAGCAGTTCAATTGATAATCATCATCAAATCCATCCCATTCTCAACCACTACCCTCTCTACCCAAAATGGATCATACTGTCTTCCAGTTTTTTTTTAAATAAACAAAAAGTAATCTTAATCCAGAAAATCATATTTTCTATTCACAGATAAACAAACACTTCAGCGACAACCACACAGAATGATGAAACGACACTATCAATCCATAAACAAAACACAGTTAAACACAATCAACAAACACTTCACAAGATACGTTCAATCATCAATTGCGATCATAACACATGACGATCAAATCAAACTAATAATAATAATAATAAATACAACCTTGAGATAGAGAATGGCACCACCCAAACCGGCACCATCGGTGCCACTGGCGGTGAACTCAAGCTTTGCTTCATTATCGTAAAAGCAAGCACCTTTCCACTGAATCGTACCGTTGGTGGGAGTCACGGAACCAACGAAAGAAGGGAGCAAATCGACGGCGCTGTGGAAATTGTTGAGAACCGGCCACGATATGCCGTGAGGGAGAACGGGGAGAACATCGTTGACTCTGAATGGGACCTTAAGAGCGTGGCAGAAGCAAGAAAACCCTAGAAATACAATAAAGAGCACGAGAAGAGGGGAGGGAGACATGAATTTCAAATTGGGAATGAGGGTTTCAGGGGATTTGGTCCATTCAGGGATTAGGGATTTTGGGGAGTGCTGATGGAGACGACGACGGAGACGCAGAGCGGTGGTGGTAGTTGGGGATTTATTCTCGGTGGTTGCGGTGTAGATGGGGGCTCACAATCCCACGTGGCATGCACGGGATGATGCAAACCGTTCCTAACGAATATCTAATTGGTGTTTACACGATGAATCAATTAGAAGGAATTGAAGGTTGTCAATGTCAGCTTTAATTTGAGCTTCCCTTTCTACTCCTTCAACCTAAATTGCATTGTCAGTTATTGCACTGATTATTGTTACATTCGCACTCATTTAATGCATTAAACGACGAGGATTATCCCCTTAACACCACTTCCCCATAGTAGTTACATCCAAATCTTTTTATGCATATCTACTTATTTTTTAAAGAAAAATTTAGAGCAAGTCTATTATCATTTTATATTTATTTTTATTTAATTTTTTTATAAAAAAATTATTAATTATAATAATAATAATTAAATAAATAAAAAGTGACAATAAATTCCACAATCGTCGTTAATATTTTACGTAAAGTAATCTGTGCATTGCGCCAATATCACTGGAAATAAGTTATTATATCATGATATAATATTATAATTATAAATAATAAAATAAAAAAATTATTAAAATTTTATGATAATATGTAAATTTTTTTAAAGTTTAAAACCAACTAGCACGTATTTTTACTATAAAATTTGTATTACCATAATAAATTTTATTAATTTTTATTTTTTTAAAAATTTATGATCCTTATAAGTTTTTTTTATATCTTTGTAAGGATCATAAATTTTTATAATAAGGCAACTATCATAAAATATGTTTAATATGTTAAAAAAATATATCATCTTTTAAGTTTGAAAATAAAATGTTTATTATATATATATATATATATATATATATATATATTATTGATTTAATGAATTTTACAAATAATTTCTGCATCGTATATATAATCAAAAGTGTTTTAATTATTTTTATATCAACAACCTCAGTTACATAACAACTGTAATGATATCATTAATTAGATTAATTTTAATATTTAAATAAATATAAAATACATTATTTGTAATAAAGTGATTAATATAAAAAGCACATTTCATAACAAAAAAGCTCGAATAAAAAATGTATTAAGATTTTTTTAAAAAAAATATTTAAAAGTTAAATTTACGTATTCAAAACTATATTATTCATTTAAAGTCAAATCATTTGTAATTTCATAATATTAATTATTTATTCATCTTCAATATTTATAATAGTTAAACTAAAAACATTCGTTCAAATCTCCATGCATCCGCCATAATGCAAAGGAAAAAATTTTACAATCAGTTGAAGGCAATTAAATCTATTACTCCTATCATCAACATTTCATTAAAATGCAAAATTTAATTATTTTTTTAAAATAAAATTAGAATTCTAATTTTAATTATTAATAATATATCATAATAACATGCAATGACTTAAAAAATATTTAATTAAACTAATACTATTAGCAACTCTTTTAACATGGTATAAAATCTAATTGACATATTTTTTTTTAATAATTTCAACTTTAAATATAAAAAACTTGACCAACATTGTATCAATACTAAGAGGAAATCTTTGCCTATAAAAGTAAAAAAATTATTTTAAAATATTATATATAAACCCTATTTTTCCGCTGGTTCCTCACAGTACTGATTCTAGTTTTTCCAAGACTTAACTTCATTCTCTCACCATCTCATTCCTTTCAGTTTCATCTCGATCATTTACCATTCCCACTAGCCTGTCCTCCATCCACATACACAAACCATGGGAAGCCATACATGACATTACCAATTACAATCATGGCCAAAACTACAAAGGCTTATCAAAATTCGAAAACTACATCCACTAACTCGGTTGCATCCCCAACTCGCCACTCTCCAGCTTCACCGACACCTTCGACGACAACCTCGTAACCGCCATCAAAACATTCCAAAAGAATTACAACCTAAACATCACAGGTATCATCGACCACAAAACTCTTCAACAAATCATGAAACCCCGATGCGACGTTCCCGACATCATTAAAAAGACCACTCCGACGTCGTTTGGCAATGCTCACGCCCACGCCCACGCGCACTCCCTCCACAGAGTCACCCACTACTCCTTTTTCCCTGGCTTTGTACAGTAGCCAGTGGGGACTGTAAACCTTACCTGTGCGTTCTTGCCAGAGATGGATGTCGATGATTCTATTAGAAGCTCGTTTGCGAGGGCGGTCCGAACGTGGGAGCCAATGGTGGATATAGCGATCCGTGAAATTTCAGCGCATGACATGGCCAACATTACCATTGGGTTCTTCAAAGGTGAACATGGTGATGCACTCCCTTTTGATGGCCACTTGGAAAGTTGGCACATGCATTTGCTCCAACCGATGGAAGGTTACACTTGGACGCCGATGAGACTTGGGTGGCGTCTGGTGACGTCACCAAGTCACCGGTGGAATCTGCCTTTGACTTGGAATCTATTGCTGTGCATGAGATTGGCATATTCTAGGGTTAGGACACTCTCTGGATCCCAAAGCCGTCATGTATCCGTATGTTGAACCAAGAACTAGGAAGGTGGATCTAACCGACGATGATGTACAGGGGATTGCGTTGTTGTGTTGCTCTACAACACCTAGATATATGGGTGTTCCTCAAATAATCTATGAATAAGAAACCAATTCATAGGATAATTCTTGCCATGCCATAAGATGCATGATTGATCGATGTATGATAATCATTAAATTTGTGAATTTTGTATTTCTTTAATGATAAAATGTTTTAGCAATTGCATTAACAATTATTTTCTTCATTTCTTATCTTTTCACTTTTGTAAGAAAATCTTTTTTCATTTAAAGTTTTTTTTGCTAGTTTTTTCATTTAAAGTTTTTGTAGTATTAATTACTGTCATTTTAATATTATGTTTTTATATTTATTTAAATTTTTAAAAATATTTTACACTGTTATCATTAATAAAAGTAAAATAATACTAAATGATAAATTTAAAAAAAATGATTTTAATATAAATAAATATATTAGAAAGTGAGTAGATAAAGGAAAACAATGAAAGCAACGTTTGATCATTAGGATTGGGGTTATTAGTACAGTAATAAATGGGATAAGATTTAATTGTAATAAGTTTTCATGTTATTATTAAATATTAATTTTACTTTAATTCTACCTCTTTTATTTTTTATTTATTGCATTTCTTTGTTTTTTAGAGTATTTTTCATTTAATGAAATATTATACATTACCAAGCATGTCTCTCAACTATTATCTCTTGAAAACTCTAAATAGAAAAGCTAGAACAACTTTAACTTTTTGAGTCAAATCTTTGTTCATGTAATTACACCTTTCTGCATCCCAATAACCTAAATTTGTTTAATTCTTGAGTTTTATCTTTAGCTATCTCTATACTTCGTTGTTTATCTTTAGAGAAGCTAAAGTTTATATCTTTTCTGTTTTCTTAGAAAAGGGAGCCTGAAGGAGTTATTCTGCAAATAATATTTATAACAGGACTAGACGTAACTTTCATTGGTTAAAAGTGAATCATGATAAATTAATGTGTTTTGTCTTTTATATCTTTTCTTTGAATTTTCTATTTTTATAAACCTTTCTATTTATTACCTCGATGCTTTCATCACACAATTCTTGAACGTTTCAGAAAATGTTTTAGAAACATACAAATTTTGGAAACTACCTAGTAAATTTTGAATTGTTTTAATTCTAACCTTTTTTTATAACGATGACAAACATTTAAATATAAATGCGTGAGACTGTATATACAATAGTAACTAAGATGAAAAAAATAACAAAAAAATTAATAATGAGAGCAATAACTTAAAAATGAAAAGGTATTAGAAATAAAAACACAGTTAAAAGAGCGTTTTAAATGTAAAAAAAAAATGTTAAAAAGAAAATATAAATCATATATAAAGTGAGATAAATAATTAATTAAAAGAAGAGTTTGCGAGAGATAATTGTAACATGTGTACATAAGTTTATACTATTTAGATATATAGCCTTTCAGACTAGCCTATTTTTAAGTGGACTCTTAACGACAGGTCACAACGAGCTAGCCCGTTTTGACACCCCTAGTCGGATGTGTGGCCTGGATCTTGCCAATGGAATAGCATGGCTTGGACTTGCCCAAAAAGAACCATGGTTTGGGCTTTGTTTCTAGGGGCCAATTTGGTCCAAATCAGATATTGAACCAGGGCCCATTGGACGTCTGAAAAAATGAACTTTTTGCTGCCGTCATAGGTTTCTATTAACATTTGGTTGACCAAAAATATAGTTTTTATCTTTAAAATGATCATAATTTTTGACAAAAAATAAAATAAAATAAGACACTGATCATAAAGAAGTTTTATCTTTAGATGAGACCAAAAACATTTGACCAAAAAATATATAATTTTACGTTAGAAAACATTTATTTGGGAAACTTCTTTGAAAGCCTAATTATAATATTTATATTCTAACCTAAGCAGAAGCATAAATGACACTTTTTTTTATCTCGCCACTCGCTCATTCAATAATATTAATAAAGATTAAAAAAAAAACTACACTATCAATCAATTAGGATGTATGATAAATATCATTTTTAAATTAAATATTACAAAAATTAACAATTTTCATTGATATAATAAGAATTGAATGATTATAATGTTAAAAAACTTTACACAATACATTCAAATTATATATATATATACCTCTTTTAATTTACATAAATGTAGGAGAAATTAAAGGAGATCTATATTGGTGATAATGATATATGATGTTATACTGTCATATAAATAAAGTGAGGATAATTTATAATTAAAAAATATAGAGATATTAAATAAAATTTCATTAAATTTTAATGAATGTGAGTCCAATTTACTGAAATGATTAACTATATTACCTACATTTGGAGTCTCGTGTTGTCTAATTTTTAAGCCTATATTGGCATAAGTTTAACGATGTAAACTCAGGTATATTGTCGTACAATACTAATGCGTTCATGTGTACGCATAAGGGATCTGTAAATCAAGATTATTGATCTTATACTGTTGAATAGTATCAATAAAAAGTCACATTTTAATGGTTAAGCATTCATTGATATAGTCTTAATTTATCCTGTGAAAACTTAATTACCAATCTAAAATTTGAAAATTACACTAATAGTATGATGATAAATATTGATGGATAATTTCATTGATAATACATCACATTATTAATAAAAACTCAGTATAAAAATTAATAACTCTGTTGAACAAAAGTTA